GGAAGGCATGCATGTTCCCTACAAGCAGCATAAGCATTTAGATGTAGTCTGAAGAGAATGATCCAAATTCTGAGCAGTATGAAATCAATGTAGCTGTGGTATGTTTGAGACAGACCAAACAAACTTCATACAGTACACAACTAAGTAAAGGACGTCAACTACTCTAAGACACGATCATGGTCAATGCCTTAGGTGACTTAAAGAACTGGACTATCAGTCGCTATTAGCCAAGATAGTAAAATAAAATTTCCATGTTCAAATGACTCTGATAACTAGGTGCTGGGCATCACTTCCGTGCCCCAAATGCAAACTTCCAGATACGTATAGGCTGCTGCTGGAAACAGAAGACTTAAATACATGGATTTTGACATGATGCAACCAATGGTCCCTCTAAGCTGTGGAGTCTTGTGAGCAAAAATTCTACTTTGTGAGCTAATGGCATTAAAGTTGTGAGTGAGCAATTTGGCTGCTGGATTTATTCTGGAGCCATCCTTCCTGAACTAAGACAAAAAACTGTGAGCTGGATCACAATAACTCACCTTAGAGGGAACACTGGATGCAACACAACAGTTCGTACACTGTTTTCTCCTTAAGTTGACAGAGCTGTTACTGATAGTCAGGATTGGGGAAGGGGGTAGTGCATCACCACAGACAATGTCAATGCTTTCAGCCATATCAACCTGATGTACCTGGTGAAAGCATTTTGTCTGAAAACCCTATTCTTGCAATTAAAACATGTACAAAACACTAATATCCCACTTCTTATAATTACCACATTTCTTTGTCAAATATTGTCCAATGAAAATCTAACAGCAAAGAAGCAACAGAACAATGACTTTTGAAATATATTTCAAAAATTAAAACATTTTACAGAACACATGTTCACAAAAGAAATATGTCAACCTATAGCACCTTTGCTGAAATGGCATACAGTTAGTTAGCACATCACTTTCAAGAGATTGTTTTACCTGCTTCTCAAGCAGGCAAATTACGATAAAGTAGTCCAAGCCAACCAGTGAAAAACACAGGAAGAAATCCAAAGAAAAATAGGTCTTACTTATCAATACTGAACAGACAAAAGAATTCATTAAGTTACCATACATTAAATTAGACCCCTGGTCCATCAAGATCATTATCTACTCAGACTGAGCAGCTTGCCAGGGCCCCAGGCAGAGGTCTTTCGTATCACTTCCTACTTGAAGCTTTTAATGGGAGATGCCAGGGTTTCTGCATGCCAGGCTGCTGCTCTACTACTGAGCCATGGCCCCTCCAGACAGTATCACAAGCTTACAATTCATCTTCAGCATATTCATTTGCAGGTTTTACTAAGTTTAATGGAATCTATTTTCAAGTATGTGGTCTTAGATGAACTGTTTAATATATTCACCTTTAGCAGACAATGTAAGCACATGTGTATACTTCTGAACTGCACCACAGCTGTCTTTGTGCAATAAACTAGGCCAGTGATACTCACTCAGAGGCTTGGGAGCCACCTGTGGCTCTTCTGAGTATTATTCCCCACTGGGATACCTGCTCCATGTTCCAAGAAAATGGGCAAGGTCATTGCTCAGTAAGGCTTGTGGTTGCCAGGCAGCTTGTGCTTTCGAACCACCACCACTGGAAGGACTGGATGAAAGAATGCAACCCTGCCTGAGCTTGGGACTCAATGGAAGGGCCGCCTATCTTCGCCAACAATCCCCACCCTTTTCCACAACCTCCATGCTCTCATCCAAGCAACCAGGCAATTGCTGGGAGGAGAACAAGCTAGCTGCAAAGAAGGGCATGTAAAATCACCACCATCACAATGATGATAAACACCCAGAAAACGAGCAAACTGGCCACAGTGAGGTGATGGTGGTTTTACTCTTAGTTTCCTCTGTTCTGCACACCTTGGCAATCCTACTCTCTCACCTGAACTGCTGCTCATGCTGAGGAGGAGAGAGCAAGAAGGCAGAGGGAAGCTTAACTACAGATGTACAAGGAATCGGATTGCTAATGTTCATCAGTGGCAAATAGAGACAACTCTACATGAACAGAGAAACTCTGGTAATTGAAAAGGCTACTGTTATATCAATGCCTGTGTGTTTGGTGAGGAGGCATATGAGGCATATAGCAGTTGTAACTCTTTTGATTGTTGGTAATTGCAGATATGGCTCTCTGCAAGCTGTGGAGTGAGAACCATTGTAATATGCCTATTAAAAGCTAACAGAAAACCACAAATAAAATAATCTGAAAAATCAGGTTAAATGCTTGAGATGGCTTGAATTTAAAGAGAACCGTGGTTGGCAATATTACTTGGCCTGTTTTATTTGCTTTAGTCTCCACTTCTGCTTATTTAAGTCACAATCATACCAAGGCAGCATCAGAAATGCCTTCCTGAAACATAGCCCAGTTGGTGTACTGGATTAAGGCTGTGGGCAAAGCACCTTAGGTCTACCCTGAAAGGAGCTACAGCTAAGAACTTAAATCCTACTAAGAAAGATCATGTATGCTTTGTACTACTGAAACATATCTTGCATCATTTAAAATGCACACTATGGCAACTCATCTACTGTCCTTCTCCCATGGTATCACCACCACTGCCATTACAGGTAGTATGAAAGAAAATATTCTCTTCTTACATAACTCGAACACTCCCCTGCAATGAGACACTGATAAAATCATAGAATACCCCTCTCTTGCCTGCCATGTTCCTTTCTTGCAGCACCTCAAACAAAACATTCTAGATGATTTCTAGGTCATTTCCCAGCCCTTTAATTTTAAGTGATATGGGTAAGGATACATCACTGGTGCACTCTTGTGGAACCTTTTCGTAAACATGCAAATAATTTAGTAGCATATTTTCCCTCCCCATTAATGAGTCAATTCCTGATCTATGTAATCCCATCATTTGCTCTATCTTTAAGTGACCTATCAGTAGCACTATCTGACAGCTTACCTACCCAGAAAACTGAAACAAGCAAGCACCAACAGTTTTATGCTTTGTCATACCAGATACATTTGTAAACATGTAAAAGCCTATAGAAGAAATGCTGGGTGAAAAACTAAAATGCATTCCAGATATGTGTCTGTACACAGGCAACTCTCAAAATCACAGGGTGGTTAAAATGCAGCTGTGAAGTCAGATCCTTACACAGCTAACAGCAGATTTAGAAATGTGATATAAGTTCATTAAAACTTTCTTTTACACATGCACAGCAACAGGAGATGCTCAAAAGCACTCTTAAGAGTCACATATGAGCTTAGTCCAGCTGTCATTAAGTACCATTAAATGCCATATGACTTGTTAGTTATGACTAGCTTGCACCATTGCTTGCAGTGGGACATCAAACTATAACCAAAACAAAAACAACATACCACACATAGGGGCACAACAGCTATAGTTCTCATCAATGGAAAAGTTAAGAATGCATTCATTCATAGCTTAGAATCATTCCAAGGAATGACTTAAAATGTGGTTTTGCACATCAGCATGCACCAACGTAGCTATATCAACAATGAAAGTGCAGTACACCCCTAAACCTATACTGCACATCAGCTGTGATCTCATTCCAACACTGTATTACCACATATTAAATACTCTGGATTTACAGACATCATACATTAAATTACCACCCCGTTGGTGTAACGGACCCACTCTGTCTACTGCTTGAACAAACTATTACAGTTTCTGCTATTCTAGGAACATCCCTGTGCTGTTTTGTCAGTTCAAAATGTTGGGCCTCACCAGCAACTTCATAGATTAAACACACAGCAGTTGTACACCCTATCCTTTTACAAAAATGAATGGCTTTGGGAGGTCCGTTATTAATTTCACATGAGAAAATTGTGATTTAATCTGATTTACTATACTTTCAAACACTTAGCTATTTAAAGAATAGATTGGATTTATACCCCGCCCTTCACTACCCGAAGGCATATCAAAGTGGCTTACAATCTCCTTTCCCTTCCCCTCCCCACAACAGACACTCTGTGAGATAGGTGGGGATGAGAGAGCTCTTTCAAGAACAGCTGAAAGAACTATGGCTTGCCCAAGGCCATACAAGCAGCTGCAAATGAAGGAGTGGGGAATCAAACCCAGTTCTCCCAGATTAGAGTCCACACACTTAACCACTGCACCAAACTGGCAAAAAGCCAGACACTTTCCAGAAAATTGCTTTACTTAGAAGGTATTCCAGTGTTTTTCTTCCATTTTGACAAAGCAAAGCAAGTATTTTCAAAATTTCTGAAAACAGTACACAGATACTAGAAAAAAAATATATACTTTTTAGCTCAGCTGCCATGTCTACTAAAAGTTTGGGGATTGTGGTTACAGAGATCATGATGACCAGAAATGTTCTTATGTTAGTACCATTTTCACCTTTTTAAGATGTTGCTCCTACTTGGTATAATGTTTAAAAGTGGTGGACTCTAACCTGGAAAACCAGGTTTGATTCCCCACTCCTCCACATGAAGCCAGCTGGGTGACCTTGGGTCAGTCACAATTCTCTCACAATTCTCTCAACCCCACCTACCTCACAAAGTATCTACGGTGGGAAGAGGAAGGGAAAGCAATTATAAGCTGCTCTGAGACTCCTTCAGGTAGTGAAGAGTGGGGTAAAAAAAACAATGATGATGATGTAGTGAGCATTAAGGCATTTTAAAACTCAGTGTGGCAACACTACCATTTTGTAAACTTTTCCAGGGTTCTCCCTTCTCAACTCATCTTGCATTTAATTTAATTTAAGTTAACTTGTCTCCAAGATACAATGCAGCTTTTCTGAATAAAAACTCTTAGCTGTATTACTTAATACTGAGATATTATTTTGTTAAAGAAGCAAACTATTTAACTCTTTAGTAGAATGGAACTTACTAATACAGATAGTATTTAAGTGATTAAAGGCTATAATCTGGCACAATGCAGATACTTAAAACTTAAAAAATTAGAATATATTATAATAGACAGTGATAAAGTAACCAGTTAAAAAACTAAGCTAAAAGGCTATGCCAGTCAACTGTGCAATGAAAGAACAATGTAGCACTACCAGCTGACAGGTTACAAATAGTGTTTTGAAATATAAAGCAGGCAAGTCATGATGCTAGCCTGTAACTTCCAGATAGCTGAACCAACCCTATTTGGCAACAAAGCGTAAAAAAATAAGACCAACTCTCTCTACTACCACCCAGCCCCCCAAAAGCAGTTCACATCTGAGAACCATCTTTTTGGAACTGCACTCATTCCATGCACAATTAGCTAGTAGTAGCTACGGTCTGGTATGCCCACGCTTACTGAGAAGATTATTGATACTAGCACTTTATTATATTTCTGGTTTTAGAATTGTTAACCTATTTTATGTGTATTGTAAAAATGTTAGGTGACTTATGTAAGCTGTCCTTGGCTGGGAGGGCGGGGTAAAAATTTAATAAATCTATCAAGTGGATGAACGTTAACTGGAATTCTTCCCTCTGTTCAGCACATCTGGCAAGCAAAACACTTTATACAATGAATTTCATATACAGGCCATCTAAAAATATTTGACTTTATGTTGCCGGAATATGTTACAATTTCGGTAACCTTTAAAAACATGCCATTAATGCCCAAAAGCTTCACTGCATCCACTGCCAATGTATTAAATATCCATGAAATTGTATTCACATTCCAGTCCTTAAGAATGCTGAAAACAAGGCCTTCCAGTTAAGGCCTTTTATCACCTGACCATTATTTTCTATGGCATACTCTTATTCAGTGACATAAAGCAGACACATTTTGGGATGACATGAAGAGGCAGTAATTGTTGAGCTAATCTGTTTTTAGATATACAACCACACACAACTCTTTGCATAAATACAGCAGAGGCAAATAATCTTGTCAGATATGAACAGAGACCACCATAACTATGCGGTAGATCAAGACACCAGTAGATGAGCTGAGAACTTTATTCCATCAGTGATTCTATACACAAGTCCAGCCACAGTAGTGTTTGTGTTAACCAAGATACGTCACAAATTCTTGCACCTGTCAGTTACCAAGAACTGATGCAGCAGTTAATAGCAGTCTAGTTCTTAGTCATAAAAAAGAACACTGATCAGTTGGAAGGATGTGACACCACTCTATACGCACTTGTAAACTCATTAATCACAGCAAACCTGTGAGCATCATTCATAATTATCTTAATAGTGCCTTCAAGCTTTAAATGAATTCTTGATTAAATACAGCTTATGTAAAACCTGGATGCTTGTTCACGTTCAGTGAGGTAGTAGGTAAAACCACCTTCACAAAAAATTTCACACCTCTCCAAAGTTGGTATGTCCCGTCTCCTTGGCATGTTCTCTGGCTTCCACTTGCCCTGTTAATCCTTTCTGACATACCATACATCTCAGTGTAAACCGGTTTACATCAGTGAACTGCCTCTTTCTTCTGGCTTCATCTGCTAACTCCAAAGCCTGAGCAAGGACAATATCATCCGATGCAGAAAAAATTGTCTGGGGAGGAATGTCTGAGTTGGGGATTCTGCGCTCAAGTGGATCATAGTGAATACCATCATAAATTAGAAGAACCCGTTTAGCATAGCCAGCATCTTCCCCAAAGCGATCAATTCTGACTGTCTGAGTGTCCACTACACAAATTTCACATTGATAGAACTTAGACAAAATCGAAACCTCAATTGCACCTCCCCATGTATCGTCTCTTCTGATCCAATCACAGTATTCTTGATTAGTCTTTCCTAGTATTGCCTCACTATAGGATTCTGGATCACTTGCTACAATCTGGGCTATAAGATGTCTCATCTCTGGGGCACATGCTGGGTCATAAACACCACCTTCTACCACATAGTATATGCTGGTGAAGAGGCATGAATTATCTGCAGGAACAACTCTCCGGGCAAGCATGGGAAGAGTGTCCCTGACTGAATTATGAGCAGTCCGTTTTGTAACTATGGAAGATTCAGTCCTGAGGTTGCTTGCATCTTCTTCAACTATTAGAGTATCACCTGTCAAGAAAAATACAACAAAAGTTGAGAAATGATTCAGTGAATTGATTAAACACATCTCTAATTGAAATCTCAGCCAAGGTTATCTGCCCCCATAATGCAACAGTTCTACATTGCATAATTTGTACAGATTACAAAATAATTATGAAACACTCTGAACATGCAGGTAAACTATGATTAAAATGCTAACATATACATAGATGAGATTTAGAATTGACTGATCAGTATGTGATACTGGTTGGTAAAAACAAGAGATAAAATGTGCACAGTTCTAGAAATAACCACATTATAATCAACATATCTGGATTTTCTCTTCTGAAGCCATAAGCAAATCTATCTGTGAACTTTAAAATCTACCATGGATATGCATTCAATCCATTTTAATCTAGCAGTCATCCTGACTTGGACAAAAGAAAACAGATAGAACTCAGAGTCTATTTTCATTTTAAGACCATCACATTCACTGATATTATAGAGGGGTCTTACAAACCTCTCAAAAAATGTGCTGACAATGTCTCCCCCTGTATCATTTAATTAAAGGGTGGTAACAAAAACCTTGTCAAGCCTCAATTTTATCCAATTACAGAGTGTCAAAACATTTGAGTCATTGCTTTAAGGCTTCCTGTCCTAACCCATAATAGATGTTAATATTTTTATTTTCACCCTCTTAAGAAAGGCTTGAAAAAACTTTCCAGTTACAGTAAATGAGCACACATCACTTACATGGGCTGGGTAGGCAACTTCTCCAGCCACATTTGGGGACTATTACCTTCTCCACTTGTGTTTGGTACATATTTTTATTTTATTTACAGCCTGCACTTCTTAATTAACAAACTGCTCAAGATCAAACTGCTATCAGACAAGTTCTTTTGTACAGGTCTGCTTGGCCATAAATACCCCCTCTGTTACAAGAAATTTTAATGGCTACTTAAAATAGTTATGATTCAAGGGTAGCTCTTAAAAGGAATGTGGGACATAAAGTTTAAAAACAAATTCTGATCTCCTACTGCTCTCCACAGCAGTCAAGTCACAGTGCTATCCAAACTTGTGTTACCCTTCCAAGCCCAGTAACGTCAATGCATTCAGACGGGCGGAACAATGCTCAGGATGGTACTATCAGAAAAACGTGTTTCAGTCGCAGCCATCATCTACTTTCGTCTCAAGGGTTAACCCAGGGTTTAAGTGCTGTTCAATGTTTCACGCAAGAGCACCAAGTAACTGCGAGCAAGAGAAAGGCCGCTCAAAACGTTGTGTTCAGATTATTCCCAACGCCGTCTCTATCGCAGATGATCGCGAGCGAAAGATACGTATATCATGAGGGGATAATCCTCAATTATAGATGCACAGCAACAGAGCCACACGGTACCACACGCCTAGACTCAGCCCTCCTCTCCTCGGGGGGAAGCTGAGGAGATTACCCCAACCCAAGGCCTACGATGTACAGGCCAGACCCGCTTCGTACCCGAATGAATGCCAAGCTCTCCGAGGCGCCGCTCCCCGTCGCTGAGGTCGAGGCCACGCGGGGGGAATCCAAGCAGCAGCTTCTGGGCCTGAACGGGTACCCCGGTGAGAGCGGCGAGCGCTGCCTGGAGCTCGCGCAAGCACGAATGTGCCGTGAGCCCGAGCAGCGGGTAAGAGCCGCTCCTGGCCTTGCAGCGCAGCCGTAACATCCTGCCGCCCTCCCGCCGATCTACGGAGTTCTCCCGGCGGCGGCTGCCGGGTTTCAGACCCCCACAGCAAAATGGCTGCGATTACATGCAACCCAGCAACCCTCGCGTCCCTGTCTTTCGGGCTTCCTATTGGTCACTTCGTCCGGGGCAGCAAAGCGTGCTCCTCCGGACCATCCAATCAGCTTAGTGGGCGGTCCCAAACATCCGCCGCGACAGCCTGAGAATTCTATGGTAACTTCTTGGTTACTTTTGACGCCATTTTTCTCTTCCCTTGTGTAGAGGGGGTGACAGCTGCCCGGATTAAAAACACAGAGAAATTCAGGACTTTAGCGTAGCTGTGATTGCACAGCAGCATCTCCTTCGAAAAGCTGAACTTTCCTTCCAGTACAATTTACAGACGGTAGTTATGGGAGAGGGCAGTGGCTCAGAATGGCTTACAATAGTCCTGCCTACGGGTCATGCCATTATTCCTCGTTGCCGGTTGGAAAGAAAAGGTCGCAGCCAATCTAGATCACGATTTCTTTGGATCTGATGGGGGCTCAGATTGAAACATAAAGTCTCTCTCTACTAAAGGTGGTAAGAACTATCGCCTTCTCGGCCGTTTTGAATTACAACACTTTCCGTGTATCCTATACATTGTTATATCCTTGTAAACCTTCAGTGGATTTACAGAAGCGTAAAGAAGATTTTCGAATATCTCCACGAGCATACCTCACTCTTTCTCTTTAAAGGGGACTCAAGGCAGCACACAAATCCTCCCAAAGCAATAGGTCGAGCAGTAACTACCGGTTCGAGAACATTAATCTTGTCAAGCGCGGACTCGATTTGCGCATTTCTAAAGTATAGTGCCTGGCACCGCGACCACAATATTCCGCATTATTTTTTATGTTTTGCATCCTTTAATTATGAATTAGTACGATGGACTCTGTGGGAATTTGGTGCCAATGAACTTGGGAGGGGGATAATTATGAATTTGCAGAAAAGAGAGCCCACTACACACACACACAGAGCCAGCGAGAGACAGCTCTAAGGCGTGTCGGTGGAGGGCGTCGGCATTCTACGGGACCCATTAATCACAGACAGAAATTAAAATTTAATTATACATAAGCATATACACAATATTATTCACACTGTCTATATTTTGCAATACACAATAATCACCGCCCTGAAGAGGAAGCACGAACACAGACAACTGACATCATTCGAGGATACAAATAGTAAACTGATTAAACACGCTAAAGTATACCAGTGTTTATTTTATAAATGCCGCTCTTTGTTTTGAGACAAAAACTCTCACTGATGGGGCTGCAGGGATGGATATAGGTGCCAGCATAGCCCCTTGTTTAAAAGGCATTAGGTTAAATCAAATAAATAAATATAGCATATATAGACCTAGGTTAAATCGCCTATTCAAACCTCTTCCCGAAAAAAGCAAAAGAGAAAGCCCAGTAGCAAACGTACGCATAGCGTCATGTTCACTTACATTCAAACGCGTTGCGCTGTTACCGCCTCACTCCGAGCACCCCAACCAAAGTAGAAACCGCACAAGGAAGAGCGACTGTTATCTTCACTCCCCCCCCCCTTACGCTTGCGCGGGAAATGAACAGTTGAGTTGGCGCGCTGTGACGTCTCTCTGTGCCCTCCCACTTTCCTATCCCGTCACTATTTTGTAATTGGAGCTGCTGATGGGTGGGTCATGTTACAGCAGATCTGTAGGTTAGACTGGTAATCAGTTACTTTGGGGTAATTGCGACAGAAATGCATTATATTTTTTTCTTCACTACCCCAGCCCTGCAAATGTGTTTTGGCCGTGCGTTTGTATTTCTGTTGTTTTTCCAATCCAAACGACATTTCTTGGACTCCCAATAATCTTACGCGTCGGATGCTATAGATGCCCAGGAAGAGGCTTGCATGATTAACACATGTGAAGAGCATGCGTGCCTGCATACGTGACACCCCACTGGGTGAACGCGGGGTCCTGTCTCCCGCCGTTTGCGTCCTTGGGAAAGTCACTAGCAAAAGGGCTTATGATGTTCCTGCTTTTCAACTCCGCTTCCGATACCTGCAGTTCCTCCTTTCTGCGTCTTTGCGCGTCGCTTAGGTTCACGTTGCCTGTGTGTATCCGCTGCCCCATTTGCCCTTTGCACCGCCTCTACATATCGACATCTTGCGAGAACAGCCCTTCTCTTCCCGCTCAGCACCGGGAGGTGTTACCTGGATACCTGTTTTAGGGGTCTGGCTGGAGGAGCTCCTGCGCGGGCAGTATTTCCATCTGGGAGCTGCTGGATCGACTGGCTCCGGTCCAAAGCAAGTCGTTTGCTGCCCCCGTCGCGGGCTGCCTGAACTTCGGAGGTGGGTGTGTTGAAAAAGAAAAAAAAGAGGTCGTTTTGTGAGCTGGGGGAAAGATTTGGAGCCCTCAGACTCTGGACCGACAGATGGGCTCCTAAGAAAATGTCTTCTCTCCGCTCAGATCACTGGTATGCGAGTCATTCGGAGCTGGCCTGCGGAGTCCCTTACAGCCTAGAAGCTCCTTAGCAATTAAGATGGTGTGTAAATAGTAGAGGAGAATAGTGTTGATTAATGAAGGGTCCCTCAACTAACCATTTCCTGGTTACGAGGGGGGAGGGAAATTACCCCTTTCTTCCTGCTTTTTCTTAATCTTCTGCAAATAATATTACCAATTTATCTCATGACCTTCACTAGCAACTTCTGTGTTGCTTCTGTTTCTCCCCCCCCCCCCGCACACACACCCCCGTCCCTGCTGAAGGAACCTCATAGACAGATTGCTGCGTGTACTGTTTCTTTTAGCATTTCATAATGCTCCTCGTTGTTCCACATTTTTCTAGAAGGAGCCTGGCGATACCAGACGGGAGGAGGTGTGTGTGTCTCTTGCAGCAATGTCAGGGGATTCAGGTCCAGTCCCAGAGCTGGTAAACGGTAACAGTTGCTGTCAGGAAAACAAGTCATCAAGTCTTCGAGTCTCAGAGAAAAAGTGCTGTGAGTATTTGGAGTGATTTCATGAGCAAATATCTCATGGTGAGCAAAACGTCTCCTTGGCACATATATCAATGTAGAAGCTAGAAAGCCGTGTAAGTCCAGATCATGCTCTGAAACTAGGGTTGCCAAATCTGATTTGGAAAATACCTGGAGACCTTGGGGGTGGAGCCAGGAGAGGGCAGGGTTTGGGGAGGGGGGGGGGCTCAGCCTGGTACAGTGCCATAGAGTCTTCCCTTCAAAGCAGCCATGTTCTCCAGGGGAGCTGATCTCTGTCAGCTGGAGATCCGTGGTAAAAGTGGGAGATCCCCAGGCCCCACCTGGAGGCTGGCAACCCTATCTGAAACACAGGGGTAATTTGATTCTAGTGCACAGCTACTGATTCTTTACGATTTCGATAATGGATATATCTTTACGATTTCGATAATGGATATATCTCATGGAACTTCCCTCCAGTGCTTTGTTAACTAAGCTACAAAGGAACAACTGGGGAGACGTTATAATGCAATTAATACTATATTGGAAAATTACTAAATACAATACAAAATATCCTCAAAGTGTAATACAACAATAAAATGATTAAAATTCATAAATTCATAGAAAATCCCATTTCATACATAAGAGAATCACAATATATAACGAAGCTTCCAGCTTTTGTCTTCATTTCGATCCTAGACTTCCTCAGAAGTAAATTCTCTTGCATGTAATATATGTTGTCTCATAACGAAGCTTCCTGCTTTTGTCTTCGTTTCGATCCTAGACTTCCTCAGAAGTAAATTCTCTTGCATGTAATATATGTTGTCTCAATCATATTCATATCATTTTGCTATAAAATAAATTTACAACAAATTTACATATCATAAGAAAAGGGAAAGGAGGAAACACATTGAAAATCATTTCAATAAAATATTTCTTGTATACCATTTAGTGAGTGTGGTCTCTTTTGTTTTCATATAGTTTTCTTTTTGTTTTTCAAAGCTTATGTTCCTAAAAATAAAATAATTATACCAACAATTATTGAGTTTTTCTTATAGATAAGGATGTATATAAAACTATTTTATAAAGAGGTAAACACCAAATAGGAAACTAAAAAACCTCCTAATAGGCTCCAGTCAAGTCTGCTGCGCACTTCTGAATGCTAGAATGCCTTAAGGTTCTAATGTGTAATTGACATATACATCTTTTTGGACATCACATTTAAAGGGGACATAAGTCTATTTTGCTGCATCCTAAATTGACTTAGAATGCAATTCAGTGTTTTTGGTCCTCATGCAATAAGTTTGGAAAGGAAGCTTGGTTCCTTTTTTATTATCTGGGGAGAAATCTTTGTGTTTGACAATTTTCTTTTAACCTTGAAAGGTGCCCTGGTTAATTGGCCAATAATTTTAACTCTGAGTGAAATGTCCTAATGTCCTGGCCCTACTGCTGGACCTCCTGATGGCACTGGTATTTCTGGCCACTGTGTGACACAGAGTGTTGGACTGGATGGGCCTTTGGCCTGATCCAACATTGGCGTCTCTGATGTTCTGATGATGTTCTGAAATACTCAGTTGGAGGTGTTTACCCGTCATGGGCTAATTTTGCTTGGGTAGCCTGTTCCATTAACCAACACCTGCTACATGCCACTATTGGATTGTGGGAATTACATGCCATGTCCTTGTGAAGAGCAAATACCTGACAAAGAATGTAGTGGAAGACAGAAAATATTTAGGTCCACATTTTTTTCTTTTTCTGCCTAGTTACAGAAACTACTGATTTTGTCTTTGCTTTTTCTACACAGCATGGGCTTCTTATATGACCAACTCTCCCACTCTGATTGTAATGATTGGCCTTCCTGCAAGAGGCAAAACCTACGTTTCTAAGAAATTAACTCGCTACCTCAACTGGATTGGAGTGCCTACAAAAGGTTTTGGCATGGCTTTTTAAAACCTGTTGGTTGGGACAATAACAATTATTGTGTGTGTGTGATTAGGGAATGGGAGAGGGTGCATATTTGTGGGTGATGAAGGAACCTTCCATACAGAATCCACTGCTGATTGATTGGTTATGACCAGAAGCTTTTATTCTTTGACCTTCTCCCAGAGTGTAATTTGGAATCATGAAGCATAGTGCCACAGCATTCCTAACTGTTATCAGTATCAGTCAAGGGAAAAGTTTTTCAGTGGTATTTAGGAAACAAAATGCCATCTTTTTGCTTTGTGTCAAATTGAAGCAAGTCTTAGACAATGTGAATTCCAAAGTATTTATGTAGTTAGAGTCATTGTGCTGCTACATTCTTCAAGAGTGCATAGTTCAGCCTATCATTCTGTGTCATTTCGTTTTGGAAACTGACAATAACAGCTCATAACATACCTCATTTTTAAACTTACAAAAGTTGGAATACTTACAATCATTTTGTATGATGATATTATTTGTGCTCAAATCTTTTATGAATGAGCTGAACCCATCATTTTATTTGCCTTAGTATCCTCTCCTTAAAGAAGCCTCAGAGAGAGGGTGATGGATGAACTGAAATGTATTTTCCCCTCTCACTGTACTGAACTTAACTGTTTTGTTTGTTTTATGTACTACAGTATCTCATGAACTGTTGTGAGCCCTGCTGATTATAATAGAGCTGTACTGATTGTAACTGCAGCCTTGATTTCTAGAGCTTGCCACAGTGTGTGGTTGCAATCCTGGCAAAGTGTGTTTAAGCAGTACTGAATTAAAAAGACAGTTAAGCATGTTCTTAACTTTCACCCACTGACCCAAACAAGACCTAAAATTCTTACTTTCTGGGTCATTCCCTTTGTACACACACTTTTATGTAGGCCATGAATACATCTGAAGCTAAGAGAGGTGGCATATCCAAGGACACAGAGTGAATCTTTGTCAGTGGTGAGGTTTGAACACAGGATTTCAGTTCTAATTTCAGGTGAACAAAATTGGCATGTCTAGTAATTTAATAAGCAAGGATTAGCTTTAGATGTGCTGACAAAGCTTTAGATGTGTAGACAAGTCAGTAGCCATATCATAAATTTTAATAAAGAATATACTGGCAAAACATATGTCACAGCCCCAAGGGTTGCTGTATGTTCTAGTGCAGGGGTGGCCAAACTTGCTTAATGTAACAGCCACACAGAATAAATGTCAAATGTTTAAGAAATGCAATACATTAACAGATATTATGCACATGTTTTTATTGAAAAATATGCAAATCTGCTTTTTATTAACATTAAATTAGACTGTGTGAAAGAGCTGCAGTTTGGCCACCCCTGTTCTAGTGAAATGAGATTTAAGTGTAGGAGAACAGCCAAAACTTAAGGTAATTCATGACATTATTAATGTGTAAATTGATTTTCGTCATCAAAATGAAACAAGGCAGGTGTGAAAAATCTCCTCTTTGCTCTTTTTCGGCTAAAGTTTGCATTTGGGATGTTGCCAGATTAATTTTCTTCTTTGCCTTTTGAAGTGTTTAATTTAGGAGTTTATCGTCGTGAAGCTGTTAAATCGTACAAGTCCTATGACTTCTTCAGACACGATAATGAAGAAGCCATGAGGATTCGAAAGTAAGTTGATGTCAGCATTCCCACAAAACACTGACATTGCTAAGTAGTCTCATACCTGTGTTGCTACTTTTCAGAATGTGCTAGAATCAACACGAAATAAGATGTGACTTCTGTGCCTTTGAAAATAGAAAATCAAAGGGCATCTTAGATTAGTGTTATGGGGAAAAAAGTCAGACTAACAGTGAAATGAAAAGTAGGCAGCATCAGAAATGACCAGCAAGCGCAAATAGAGACTGTAATAAACTTCATATAAGGAATGCCAAGAAGTAGGCTGAGGCAGACTGCTTAGAGATTCTGGGAGAGTGATGGAAAGGGCCTCTTGGGTAGTTGGTGGAGACAGAAAGGTGCTGCAGGTGAAAGGGAGCCCCTTGAAGTAGCTGAGGCTGAACATATCAGACACAGCACTACAGCTTGAGCAGTGGACTGAGCACCTGGAGGTTACCACTTCGGGAGCTGAGAGGCTAGTAATGAGTGCAAGGCAAGGAAGAAGATGTCAGACTGGGTCAGAGGGAGGAAATTTGGAGAATGCTGACCAGGAGTGTAAGCAGCTTCAAACTGAAGAATTTAGCACTGCCAGGGCCACCAGTGTGAAGTGAGGGCACATTAAGAGTAATTTACTCCATTTTGTGTATTGGTAGGGTTGCCAGGTCTGGGTTGGAAAATACCTGGAGACTTTGGGGGTGGATCCAGGAGAGGGCGGGGTTTGGGGAGGGGAGGGGCCTCAGCATGATACAATGCCATAGAGCCCCTCCTTCAAAGCAGCCATTTTATCCAGGGGAGCTGATCTCTGTCAGCTGGAGATCAGTTGTAAAAGCGGGGGATCCCCAGGCCCCACCTGGAGGCTGGCAACCCTATGTATTGGTATATGAGCAAGGATTCAGATTTCAAGAGGAATCTATTATTTCAGCAGTATATAGTTTTATTAGTGAGTAATTGTTACAAATCCTGAATTGTTAGATTAATTAGGATTTGTTTGTCCAATCATCTTTATTTAGGGATACTAAAACGGATTTTTGTTGTTTAAAAGACACTGTATGTCCACCAGCAATGTTCCCTCTAAGCTGTGGAGTCCTGTGAGCAAAAATTCAACTTTGTGAGCTACCAGCATTAAAGTTGTGAGCAGGCAGGTGAATTAGCTGCTGCATAAATTAGTTGGCCCTGGGCTGGAGCCATCCTTCCTGAGCAAAGACAAAAATGTGTGAGCTGGAGGGTGAAAAACTGTGAACTAGCTCACACTAACTAGGGAACAGCTTAGAGGGAACACTGTCCACCTGGCTTCTAAGACCCCACAGCCCACACTGACAGGATTTGAATATCCATTTACAAAGTCTTCTAAAAATAAGACAAATCTTAAACTACTGCTGCATGGACAACCATTAATAAAATAATCTGACAAATATTGTCTTCAGGGACAATGTTTACATATTGTCCTAATTTTTTAAAAAAAGTTCATGCCAGAGGTCCAGTACATGTTACTTTAAAAGTATTGTTCCCTTAGGTCAATTGATTGGTCAAAGAGTATCAACTGATCTCTTATTATTTGAGTATGGTCAGATATTCCAAAGAGCCAAAAATGTTACTACATATGTGGCAGACTACTTTTTAAATTTCTTGGTGATATCTCTTGTTACCTGTAAAAAATATTTTCTTAATAGTTTTTTTTATTACTTTGCACAAGTTTTTTCTTAATTTGTGTAACTGCAGGATAACCCTTGTGTTCCAGGATAAAAACTAAAGAGTTGTTCTGTGTAATCATTTCAACATATAGAAACCTTACCCAAAAAGTTAGAATTCTTTTCATAAAATAGTATTTTCTTGTTTCACAGTAGCCGTTAACTCATTTGTTTTTGTAATTAGCACAGGCATCAAACCTACTGATCATTACTTTTGTTGTTATAATAAAGAAATTTGGATAGACAGGAATATGGTTTCAAAACATCCCACTGATTGACTGGTTTAGATGGTTTGGCCTATCATTATTTTTACAACTCCTGTAATTCTACAAAAATTTCTTGCAGACAGTGTGCCTTGGTTGCCCTTGAAGATGTGAAAGCTTATCTTACAGAGGACTGTGGCCAGATAGCTGTAAGTGCACTTTTTCATTCAACTTTAAGGCAAAAGTCCAGAATGCATTAATGTGGGTATGAGTGGGATCTGTAGGTTTTTTCCCCTCCATAAGTACCTTATTCATAATTTGTGTAGGGAAGACAGGAAACTTAATGGAAAAAATGGCTTCATGAACTGTTTTCTCATAACAATGTATAAAATGTGTTGCATCACTCTTACTGCTTTCAACATGCTAACTGCTTTCTAATATTAACTAGTACAAATCTCTAATGGCGCAGTCCTAAACAGAGTTAACTATGGACTGTTTCCCAAGTCCCCCCCCCCCCACACAGCGGGCCCAGAAGGAGCTCCAGCGCTGATTGGGGAGGGGGAGCAGAAAGAGAAGGGAAATACATTGGGGGAGTTTCAATCCCCCCCAAATGCTAGGTTTGTCTACACCTCCCCTGAGGCAGCAAACTGCAGGCAGACAGGTGAGAAGGTTGCTGATCCTATTGGGGGTGGAGTTGCTGGGAGAGTCATCTCCACTGTTGGTGTGTGAGAGAGGGGGGAAGCTGCTGGGCAGGCAGTCAGGAGACTGGCCACTGCCATTGGTTTGTATGGGGAGGGGGAGCTGGGGGAAGCTGCTGAGCAGGCAGGCAGCTGGTAAAGTCATTGCCGTTGACAGGGGGGGGGCTGCTGAGTGGGTGGCCGTGAGAGTCACCACTGCTGTTGATGTGTATGGGTACAGGGGGAACCTGCTGGGCGGGCAGGAGAGTTGCTGCCACCATTGTTACTGTGGGGGAGGAAGCTGCTAGGTGGGCTGGCAGTTTGAGCACCCCTGTTTCTGTGAGGGATGGGAAACTGTTGGGCAGCTGGGAAAGCTGCTGCTGTTGTTAAGGTAGAAAGAGAGAGAGAGAGTGATGGGGGGGAAAGAGAGAGAAAGTGACAGTAGGCATTGGGGATAGAGATAAAAAAGATGGAAAGTAAGAAAAGGGGGGAGAGAGAGAAAGGGAGATACAAGAGAGGAAAGAGGAAGAAGCATAGATGGAGGAATGGGTTGGCTGCTACCGCAAGTTTCTTGTGGGTCCCCACTTGTCTATATACTAATAGCCAAGGCGGCCAGATCTGATGATACTTAAATCCAGTGACTGGAGCTGGGTATGAGTAAGGCGGATCATTTATCAAACCTGAAATGGGCCCCGGGTTTGCAGAAAAATGTTCAGATTTGGGTTCAGTCACATTCTTTCAGGCTAACCTATCTCACAGGGTTGTTGTTAGGATAAAAAGGCGAGGAGAAAAGTGTAAGCTGTTTTGGTCCTCACTGGTGAAAGGTGGGGTATAGATGAAGTAAATAAATAATAAATATAGCTGAAGATAGGAGGCAGTTAAAAGGTATGTTGGTGAATGTCTGAGAAGGCGAGAACAGGACAGGAAAAGGGAAGAGAATATGGGGTTGCCAAGAGGAGGGAAAAAAAAATAATGTAGGGAAGGGGGATAGAGAGGAAAGTGAGGTTTCACCGCACAAGTCCTTAAGGGTTCTCTGCCATGGAAGTGGGCCTGGCCCAGTGGCTGGCACCATACAACTGGCCCACAGTTTTGCTTGGTAGAGGTTGCTGGGGGGGGGGGAGATGAAAAGCTGGGTGGGAAGAGGCTAGAGTTGCCAACTCCAGGTTAGAAAACTCCTGGAGATTTGGTGGATGGAGCCTGGTGAGGGTGGGGTTCGAGTGGGGGAGGAAGAGGGGTATAATGCCATAGACTCCACCCTCCAAAGTAGGCTTTTCCTCTGAGAACTAGGGTTTACCAACCTCCAGGTGGGGGGCAGAGGTCACCCAGAATTATAACTGCTCTCCAGATGACAGGGATTAGTTCTCCTGGAGGAAATGGCTGCTTTGGACTCTACGGCATTATACCCTGGTAAGGGCACTTCCCTCCCCAAACCTCACCCTCCCAAGGCTCCAGCCTCAAATATCCTGGAATTCCCCAACATGGAGCTAGCAGCCCTAATGAGGGAGTTGATCGCAGTACCTGGGAGATCTGTCATGATTCCAGGAGATCTCCAGGTACCACCTGGAGGCCATCAACCCTAGAAGGAGAAAACAAAGCAGGAAAAGGAGAGAGGCTGTGGGGGCTTTCAGGGAAGGGGAAAAGGAAACAGTGGAGGAGAAGGAAAACGAGATGCTTCGCTCAAGTCCTTGCAGTTTCCTGCGGTACAATTCTAATCCCACTGAAGTCAATGGTTTTTAAATGTTGTGACTCCGTTTACATTTGCATTGTTAATGCAGGTCTCTGTTCAAAACTGAACCATTTGTAAGGGCTGATTCTCTCTTACCAAGAGCTCTGTGGCAACTGATTCTCTTTTACTTATTCCAATGACGTTAAAGCCATGGGGAAATACTTTGTTTTTCTCAGGAAATAAACTGAAAGTTTGGGGGAAAACAAATATATGGAATAATTAATTTGGTTTACTACTTTAACAAGCATAAAAAGCATCGTTTATATTTTATATTGTCCTGTTTTGTATATTTATGAAAGTATAAATGTCGTACAGCAGCATCCTAAGCAGAGAGATTCCAGTGGTCAGCCATGTTGGTCTGAAGCAGCAGAACAAAGAGTTGAGTCCAGTGGCACCTTTAAGACCAACAGAGTTTTATTCAACCTATAAGCCTTCGTGTGCATGCACACTTCTTGAATAAAACCCTGTTGGTCTTAAAGGTGCCACTGGACTCAAAACTTTGTTCTGTATAGGCTTACCGTGGGACTCCTGCGCCGCGCCTAGAACATGTGCGCCGCACGCACGTCACCCAGAAGTGACGTGACGATGCCAGGCACGCTGGGGGTGGGGCCACGACCATCCAAGGGAAAACCATAGAGTTTTCCCTCGGATGACCGTGCCCCCGCCCCCAGCGTGCCCGGCGTGGTCGCGTCACTTCCGGGTGTCACGCACGTCGGGGTGGAGTTCCCCCCGGGGCCCGATCCACTGGCGGCAGGGAATGGGCCTCTGGGGCGGGGGTTTCCCCGCCCCCCGAGGGGACTTGGGAAGCCTAGTTCTGTAACACTAAGCAGAGTTACACCCTTCTAAACCCATTAACTTTAGTGAGCTTGGAAGGGTGTAATTCTGTCTAGGACTGCACTGAGTTTTGTACAAGCAAAATTGCAAATATAGCCTCTGCTTGAGAGAGAGAATCAGGTGCAAAGTGCTGCCCTGATGCTACTTTATCATATGTATCACTTATTGCTGTCTAAGAGGTAGAAAAGTAAAGTAAAATCAGAAAATAAAAGAACCTTTGATTCAGAATGTATATTTCCACCCCACGTTTCATTTATAAACATAATCATCCTGTCAAAATACCTGAATTCATAACCAAACGGTATGCAGAACATCAGTTTATGATCAATCACATCTCCAGCAAAGGCCCTGGGCATTTGTCTGTGTGGCAGCTAACTAATGAGGAGTAAGATACTATTTAAACTGGTGTCTACCATCTTGCAGCATTGCCAGGGATAAGCACATGCTTCACTTTAATTGCTTAGATTACTTATAACAGCCAGTTTCTCTTTCTGGGGCCTTTTATCTCTTTTCTCCTGGCCACTCTCAGCTCCTGCTTCCTGGAGTTTACTCCTGGGAAGGGCTTTTCTTTCCAAGAAGACTGCTGCACCAAGGAGGCCTTTGCCCCATAGAAAGCTAGTGTTGGCTGTGTTTCTTCCTGGTTGCTTCCATGTGGACGTGCCTTGCCTTTCCCCCAGTTTTCTTTCTCTCCAGCAGGATTAGGGTGCCCCAGAGTGTGACAGTTACTCCAAAAATTAATGTTGTTATTTTAAAACTGATCTTCATTATAACAGGTTAAAAAAACAGTTCTGTAATTTTGTAACCATATAATAGATCATAATCTGTAAATCTCTCTTCAGATTATGATGTATATGTTTTGTTAATTTTATACAGCTAAATAATTTTCAATCCAGTCCAATTACCTTTATTGGCATGTAACCCTTGGAGACTCATGTACAAGAAAAACAACAACAGCATAAAATAATATTTGCAAAAAAACAGATGTAAGGAATTACCATGTAAGCATACCAATCAATTAAACAAAGGGCGAATAGAAATGGTACCAAAAAGAAATTTAGCAACAGTTTCCGTTATCTCAAGGTTTGGATTATCAAGAAGAGTAAGGATCTTTAGGCCATCTGGATATTCTTCTAATTGAGCCAAAGTAGAGTTTAGAAATTTCAGACATAGCGCATGATACAAGGGGCACTGAAACAAGACATGGGAGATCGTTTCGATATGATCATTTGTGCCTGGCAACATCTGTCAGAAAAGGGCACACCCTGAAAAACGGCCAGATAATAAGGCTGAAGGTAATACATTGAATCTGGCCAAAGAGAGGGCTCCACGGAGTTTGGGGATGTGAAGTTGGTACAGTTAAGAGGCAGTTTGGACGACTTCAGGAGATATTCCAAAATACAGGGGTGAGCAGGTTTTGTTAGTGGTGTTATATAGTGAATGTAGCTCAAAGCGAAGTAGATTGGCTCTTATAACTGAGAGAGCCTCAGATTTGGAAGTAAAGAGTAAAGAATCTAAGGTGATATCCAGAGATTTAATTTTGGATTCTAGGTAATCCAGTTTGAGTCATTAGATTCTAGTAGAAGCTGATAGGTGTAACTAGAGGGGTCCAAATTAAAAAAGCTAAATAATTAACAAAAGATAAAAACAAAACATATAAATCATAATCTAAAGAGTGATTTAAAGTGTGTTTCTTTTAAAACCTGAGAACGAGTTCTTTGACTATAACATAATTATATTGAACAGAGGAATATCAAAAACCTAGAATTAACTCTGGAAATTGCAGTGTATACTGTTTAGTACTATACAGATCCGTTTTCTTCTTTTTAGGTCTTTGATGCAACCAACACAACCCGAGAGAGGCGAGATTTGATACTAACTTTTGCAAAAGAAAATTCCTTTAAGGTGACTACTTCCTTTCAAATGTGGATTCAGGCTTGTGGCAGTTACCTAAACAGGCCAATCTTTATCCACCTAAAAGTGTGTGTGGGGGGATTTAAAAGCAAGTTAACTCTTGAACAGAAAATAAAAGTGCATCCTTTATCTCAGTTTTATTTAAAAGGATAGCAGGCAAGGAACAAGCATGGTTAAAGCAGTTTCTCTGGCATCATTTCAGGAGCTCTGCCTGTCACATTCAAGTCCATCCTTATTCTAAGTAAAAGTCAGTGGACATCCTCATAGTATCCCATCAATGTTTAGACTTCAAGTCCAGCAGGATCTGCATAAGCAGTTCCAACAGAGCAAGGCTAATTCTTTTTTCTTTTCTTTTTTTTTTTCAAACCAGGTTTTTCCTTTATTAGACCCAGTGTCACCACACATATTCCAGGACTCATTAACAGGAAGAATTTAGCAAGGCTAATTCTTGAGTAGGCATTCTGACCTTAAGCACTACACAGATATCTGCTCTTCAAAAATGTGTGCAGAGTTCACCAAGCTAAGTTAAGCAATAAATAAATGAATGACCTGCATAGGAGGCTTCCAAGGAACAAGTACCTTAAGTCTGTTGTGCTGGTTTACATTTAATTAAGAAGGTTTTATTATTGTTCAGTTAGGAAGATTTTAAAGGTCTGACTGTAGCTGTAAATACAAAGCCCAACTGATTTATTTGAAATCCAGAGATGATGAATGTAAGCACAGTTTATGCTGCTGCAAAGGATCTGCATTTTACTAGGCATTTTCTTTGACTTTTTGCAGGTATTTTTTGTGGAATCTGTTTGTGATGATCCAGAAGTCATTGCTGCAAATATATTGGTAGGTTTTGCACATCTTTCCAAGGATGGCCTCCTATTTTCTCCTGTAGCAAAGTCACAGCTGTTTTGGAATGTCACTGTGGCTCAGTGTTGGAGCATCTTGATTGCACACAGATAGTCCCAGGTTTAATCCCTGGCCTATCCATTTAAAAGGTCTGGTAGCAGATGATGTGACAGACCTCTGCCTGAGACCCAGGAGACCTTCTACCAGTCAGAATTGGAAATACTGATCTTGATAGATCATTGGTGTGAGTCTATATATGACAGCTTCATGTTTTCATGTGAAATGGCTTGATCAATGTTACTGAACTTTGACGGTGTTTAAAAGCAGCTCCCATATTTTACTCAGAAACTGTGTTCAATGTTACATGGGTATTCCCTCTGGAGACACATCAAGTTTGGAAGATGCCTAAATAAGCCATGGCAAACAGGATTTGCAAAGTGTAGGAGCCCCCCCCCCCTAGCATTCGGCCAATAATTTATTAAGGCCGTAGACCAGGAGAATAAAACATACATTAACAGATTGGTTATAAGAATATACAATTTCCCATTGAAATATATCTAGAAAGCAAATACATGTCATTGAAACTACACTGCCTTGGTAGACTCTGGCAGCTGCACAGAATCTGGCCACTCTGTCTGAGGTTTCAGGCTCTTAGCGTTAAATCAGAGCTTTCCAGCCAAAAACGTCTTTGAGGTTTTGTTTTTATAATGTGGGGCTAGGGATAACAGACTGTTGTTTTAGCTCCTCCTAGGACAGTTTGGTGGTGGTTTCCAGGCTTGTATATAATCCTTGTTTTCATACTTTATATATTGTTATAAGAAACACTACCTGCTGTGTTAAGTACCTGTTGGCCCCACAAGTACTTGGTAGCAGCAAATCATGGTTTTTAACAAAATTCCAAACTATACAGGATGGGGCAGGAGAACCTGTGTCTTCAAAGGAACATCTTTCCTAATCTTCTGTAAAGCAAAGTGTTTGGCATTTGATTGAAAGCACTCAGGGGACGTGGGTACGAGATGTACTGATACTTCCCCCTGCCTGCCACTTTCTGTCTGTTTGCAATCTGTGTCCCAAGTCTGTTTCATCCCCAGTAGGGCTTCAGCACCATCAGTGAGTCCAGTCTGGAGAAGAGTACTTGCCGGAAGCGGGGTGGGTAGGGAACAGCATCCGCCATGTGTCCTTCTCAGGCTCTTAAATTACACCCCTACCTTCTGCTTTACATGTGATTGGGGCTGAACCACATTTATCAGCACAAGACTTTGCCTTCAGCACGTGCGTCTTTGCCATGAGTAAAGCACATAGCTTGCTTTATCCTGGTGTGTTCTGTGATTTGTTGTACAGGTTGATTTGTTGTACAGGTTGACTTCTGTGCAGTGGTTTATGTAATAATAAGTGGTGTACAGGAGAGATTCAAGAATAAATAGAACCAAACTTTCATAACTGTAACTAGTAAGAGGGAGACAGGAGTGTGTTCTCTTAGGTTCTAGAGCCCAGGGCAGGTGCCCCAGCAGCAGATTCCTTCCTTATTGAAGGGCAAACATGTAGAGTGGTATAAAGACAGAGGCTTTCGATGCTACAAATGAACTTGGTTCAGAGGGCTTAATTCCAAGGAACAGAAGGATATCTCCGAGATGTGTATATTCCACAAAATTACAAGGTGCAGTAAGAATACTTCACATGTATATAGCGTTTCAACTGATGAAAGTGCTTCAGCTGGTAAAGGGGGAGTTGTGGTACTAAGAATCTGTCCGTTTATGTGTGGTCAGGCACTGATGTGCAAATCTTTTCCACAAGCAACATGCTGCACTAATTGATCTGACAGGTTTTCTGACCTTGATAAAGATTTGCAGATTTCCATGATAAAAGTTCAGTATACAAATCAGTTTCATTGCATTGATTAATACAATCATACTTATGGCTGTGATTGTTTTTATTTATTCCACAGCACCATCAACATGCCTCCCACTTTACAGTCTGTAACTAGAGGCAAGGAAGATAAAGGGAGGTGAGGGAGGTGGTGACAGGTATAAACAGGGAAGGTGTATGTATTTATTTCATTTACATAGGCTTCATTTTCTGTCAAGAGACAGTGAATGTTTAGCGCAAGTGAAAATACTGCAAAATTAGTGTAACTGTTTTTCCTTTTCTTTTTTGTGAGCATTAATGATCATGATTAAGGATGAGAAGTTTCAAGCATGTGGTTCTAGCAGGTGTGGATTCTTGGTACTGATGCATAATAAAACAATGATTTGGCAAGCTATCATAAATGGATAAATTTCCAAACTGTGGGCAAATATTTGGGATATGAATTTCAATTATTGGTGATAAATACTGCCACCTGGTGGAGGAAGTCAAAAGTGCATCTTTCTTTGAGAAAACAGCCATTTCTTTTGCAGCCGTAGTTTCTATTTTGGGTGATCTCTACAAGAAATCCTCTGCAGACTAAACACCAGCTTTTCATCTGTCTTTTCTTTCTTTGGATTTTCACAACTTATCAAATGTTTCTTCTTATTTCTGGGGCTTTTGTAAATGTAAATTAGAGGAAGTATTTTGTAAATTTAAATTAGAGGAAGTAGAGGAAGAGCCAGTTTGGTGTAATGGTTAAGTGCACGGACTCTAATCTGGGAGAACCAGGTTTGATTCCCCACTCCTTCACTTGCACCTGGCTGGATGACCTTGGGCAGGCCGTAGTTCTGGCCCAGCTGTTCTTGAAAAAGAGCAGTTTCTGTCAAGAGCTCTCTCAGCCCCACCTACCTCACAGGCAGTGTTCCCTCTAAGCTGAGTTAGTGTGAGCTAGCTCACAGTTTTTTAGCCTCCGGCTCACACATTTTTCTCTTCGCTCAGGAAAGATGGCTCCAGAGCAAACTAATTTATGCAGTAGCCAAATAGCTCGCTCACAACTTTAGTGCCAGGAGCTCACAAAGTAGAATTTTTGCTCACAAGACTCCACAGCTTAGAGGGAACATTGCTCACAGGGTGTCTGTTGTGGGGAGGGGAAGGGAAAGGAGTTTGTAAGCTGCTCTGAGACTCCTTTGGGTAGTGAAGGATGGGGTATAAATCCAATCTTTTCTTCTCCTCCTCCTCCTCCTCCTTCTCTGTTTTGAAACTAACGTTTTCCTATTCTCTCTTCATTGTCCTTTTTAAAAATTCCTCGTGGTTCAGCTTGCAAATGTGTCTTTCCTGATTCATCAGCTCAAGGCTCTGACTTACTCAGAAGCAAGTCATTCCCTGTGTTTCTGTCCATTTCTCCCTGATTCCACCACATAAAAACCTTCAGTGCTATCTAATGCAGGTGTTAATGGCTGAAACTTTCTTAAGTAATACACACAAAAGAACTTCTACAGCCTCTTTAATATTCATATTTCTGTGCTGCTTAATTCTTTCTCATTCTTTCTCAGTTACAGAACCTGCCTCTGTAATTTGTACAGCCTCTTGTGTAATCACTTTTACAAGACCCTGAACAGAAAAACCGTGTACTTCTTTCTTCACATCTATTCCCATGAAATCCTTCCACACCCTTCATTATATTTTTAACAAAGAGCAAATCATAGTGGAACAGATGGACTCACAGTCTAGCTGTATGTTTGTCATCTCCATCTCCTTCCTTCCTTCCTTCCCTCATTTGTTATTTCTACAACTCCCTTCATTTGCCTTAATAGAGGGATCTCATCAGTCCTGAGAAGACACAGCTGTCCTCTGCAGCAGTGACCTCCACTTTTTCATTGTTTAAAAAATAAAAAAATCAGTAAAAAGAAAGTTGAATACAAAGATTTACAAATGTATCTTTAATTCGATAAACAAATCAGTTCACCATCCTAGTCAGAATAACATTCCATTTATTATCTACATTTTTAGGTTAGTTGTTCATATGTACACATTCCTTTTGTTTCTTCTACCACTCCCCCCCCACACACACACACACTAACCTTAATTCCAAAGCAGTCTAGCTGGCTCCTTGTGCTGGTACCCTACTCTGCTCCTGTTGACAAAGCATTCTTTTTTGTCCGTGATGGCTCTGCAAAACCTTCCTTCTCCCGCAGAGCATTCTCCAGTACTGTGCACAAAGACCTGCTCTTCTGCATTTTCTTCTTTCCTGTTGAATGAATGTCTTCTACTGCTGTTTTTCTCCTTGCCAAGTGATAATGTAGCTGTGTACCCATTTGTGTGCTCAGTAGCCCAGCCAGAAATTAATGCAGTAAACTGCGTAAAGGTAAAGGTTCCCTTGCTCGAAAGCCAGTCGAGTCCGACTCTAGGGTTGCGGTGCTCATCTCCGTTTCAAAGCCGAAGAGCCAGCGCTGTCCGAAGACGTTTCCGTGGTCATGTGGCCGGCATGACTAAACACCAAGGTGCACGGAACGCTGTTACCTTCCCACCGAAGTGGTACCTATTTATCTACTGGCAATTTCTTGCTTTCAAACTGCTAGATTGGCAGGAGCTGGAACTAGAGATGGGAGCTCACTCCGCCATGCGGCACACTCGGGTCTCAAACTACTGAACTACTGACCTTCCACAGCCTGCAGTTCAGCGTCTTAACCACTTGAGCCACCGCAGCTCCTAGTAAACTGCTTAGGGAGGTGCTATTCTAGCTTGCTGTGGTTCCCAAAGGTGGGCCAGCCCTTGGAGAAAATCCCTGTTTTTCTAATATGCTTACATCAAAAGAGAAAGATACCTGCCTCCTGTTGTCTTTGCTTCCAAATGATTTCTAAAAATATAAGCATCTGACATTTGTGGAGAACCCATGCTCGCTTATGGTCTTTGACTCAGAGATGCCATCATAGCATCAAGTTCCCTCCATATGAAAGAGCAAACATGCAGACAGGCACAAAGACTGTAACTATAAATTCAGTAGCTGTAGAAAAGAGCAAGAGTCCAGTAGCACCTTAAAGACTAACAAAATTTGTGAATCACTGCTCACTTAACATAAGAACATAAGAGACGCCAATGTTGGATCAGGCCAAAGGCCCATCCAGTCCAACAATCTGTCACACAGTGGCCAAAAATACCAGGTGCCATCAGGAGGTCCAGCAGTGGGGCCAGGACACTAGAAGCCTTCCCACTGTTGACACACACCCCCAAGCACGAAGAAGACAGAGCATCACTTGCCCCAGAGTCCCTATCTATACCTCGTGGCTAATAGCCACTGATGGGCCACGAGAGTCAAGTACTGGTTTATCTCTTCATACCCTCCCTCTCATGAGCTGCCTAAATTCACAGAATCAGCATTGATGTCAGATGGTCATCTAGCCTCTGCTTAAAAACCTCCAAAAAAGGAGAGCCCACCACCTCCCAAGGAATCCTGGTCCACTGAGGAACCACTCTAACTTTCAGGAAATTCTTCCTGATTTTTAGCCAAAACTCTTTTGATTTAATTTCAATCTATTGGTTCGGGTCTGACCTTCTGGAGCCACACAAAACAACTTCGCTCCATTCTCTATATGAAGAAGAAGAAGAGAAGAGATTGGATTTATACCCCGCCCTTCACTACTCGAAGGAGTCTCAGAGCGGCTTACAAACTCCTTTTCCCTCCCCCTCCCCAGAACAGACACCCTGTGAGGTAGGTGGGGCTGAGAGAGCTCTGACAGAAACTGGTCTTTTTCAAGGACAGCTCTTATCAGAACTATGGCTTGCCCAAGGTCATCCAGCCAGGTGCAAGTGGAGGAGTGGGGAATCAAACCCGGTTCTCCCAGATTAGAGTCCGCGCACTTAACCACTACACCAAACTGGGTCCTCTTAGCCCTCTCAGATCTCCTCTCCAGGCTAACCATACCCAGCTCCTTTCCTCATAGGACCTGGGCTCCAGATCCCTCACCATCTTCATTGCCCTTCAGCGAGAGAAGCAGTTACTGTTTCTTTTGACATTTATGTAAATTATGTAAGAGTTCAGATATGAAAATGGAAACAAGAATATATTGACTCTGGAACATATCTTCATGGGACGATTGTACAGTAAACAGCTTGGAGAAAGGACAGCTTAGTCTATCTGTCCCCAGGGCAAATGCTTAGAATTGCTCTTTGTTTCCATGCCAAGGAAAGATAAACAATGTATATTTGTTTGGAAGCTTAAGGGCAATACTGGTGATGTTTTTTTCTGTATGTAGAATGTTCGGTTACATTTTAATGGCATCTTATTTGGTTACTCAGGAAGTGAAGGTCTCCAGTCCTGACTACCCGGAGAGAAACCGAGAGAATGTGATGGATGATTTCCTGAAGCGTATCGAGTGCTATAAGGTCACCTATCAGCCCCTTGATCCAGTTAATTATGACAAGTAAGATGCACAGCAAAGGAGTGGCAGGCATTCCAAGTCAACAATGTACGTCAGGAATGGAAATGGAGTGGAGCAGTTGCAGGGCCACAGCACTGTAGCTGTAAGGATGGTCATGCCAAAAGGATCAGATCATGATTCTGTCTGGAAGCCCACAGGGCATAACAGCAACAGCCCTCACCTGTTTTTTTGTCTCTGCATATGGTAAAGGGAATTCACCTCTGGGAAGGTGGGGCCTGAGTGTCTGAACTGACACGATGATATCAATATATCTTATTGTGAGACTCCAGCTGCTCACCCTGGGGCGGCCTATGATCTGCCGTCTAGTCCTCAGCCTGGTGGGAGGTTCCCACAGGCCTCAGAATGGGAGGGGAGGGGATTGCATCACCTGGTTCTTCCTCCTCCCAGCCGGACTTAACCCCTTCACAATTTGGGGTCGCCAACTGCTTTGCCCCTGCTTCCAGCCTGTTCTAGGGAACCTCCTTTTATTCTCCCTTGGACTCCTCCCCCTCCCAGCCCCACCTATCCCCATCCTTTCTTTTCCCCATTGAGATGCAGCTGTTAGGCAGCTACTAACCCCGGACTCTAATTCTCAACAGAGCTTCGTTTTTGGTTACTTAAATATGGAGATTAGAAGTGTTAACAGAGAAGACAAATCTTTCTGCAAACCTGAGAAAAGCCCCAGTGTTTGCACAAAAATCTAAAATCTTAAAAAACAACAAAAAAACAGAACCACAAAAACCACATGGGGGATTAACTCATTCCCAGTAGAAGCCGCACCTGTACCTTTAAGAAATGAATGCCCTCTGCAGTGGTCATTGGGGGGATGGTAGGCAATCACAACAATACTGTCAGCCTTCAAACTTTGATTTATGTCAGTAAACGGAGGGGATGGGGAAAGGGCCCTTTCCAGAACTGTTTTGGCATTTGAGAGAAGTTTCATCAGGACCAGGCCTGACACCAGCCACTGCCAGGCCTGACTGCTCGCTACTGTTCAAAGGCAGCCACTGCACAAAAGTCAGTGTTCTATAGCAGTTTCAGACTAGGGTCTGAGAGTAAAAGTAAAGGTAAAGGTTCCCTTGCTCGAAAGCCAGTCGAATCTGACTCTAGGGTTGCAGTGCTCATCTCCGTTTCAAAGCCGAAGAGCCAGCGCTGTCCGAAGACATTTCCATGGTCATGTGGCCGGCATGACTAAACACCAAGGTACACGGAACGCTGCTACCTTCCCACTGAAGTGGTACCTGTTTATCTACTTGCAATTTCTTGCTTTCAAACTGCTAGGTTGGCAGAGACTCTAAGAGACTGAGGTTCAAATCCCTATTCTGCTGTGGAAGTTCACCAGATTAACCTTGGACCAGTCCCTGCCTAACCTTCCTCACTGGTTTGTTGTGGGGATAAAATCAAGGACAGGAGAATTATGTATATTGCTTTGGGTCCCCATTGGCGTGAAAGATGTAGTATAAATGAAGTTAATAAATATAGCTGAAGATGGAAGACAGATAAAAGGTAGGCTGGCTGGAGGATGGAAAGGAGACCAGGAAAAGGAGAAAGGATATGAGAGCTGCCAGGAGGAGGGAAAAAGGAAATGGCTTTGAGAAGGGGAGGTAGGGTAAAATGAAGTGATGTCTGTCCCCCCCGTCTCCAGCAAGTCCTTGTGGGTTCCCATCTTGTAAAGCTTCTATTTGTAGCGAGTAATCTGTGATGGCTTACTCCCCCTTAAACCTATCACTTGATGCTACAATCAATACGTGATGAAAAAATTGTGTGCATCACCCTTTAAGTGTCCACCTCCATTTCTCCCCTTTTAATGTTTAAAGGCAGAAGAATGCACTTCTTCAAGTATTTTAAACTGTGCAACTCCAGCTACCAGTGGTGCCTCATAATTTCCCACATTTCCAGGATAGATCCTACAAGTCAGTGCTGGTGAAATCAAATCCAGGGCCACATAAACACTTAATCAAGTATACAAAGCCCTTAAGGGGTCACATTTCATGTACATGCAGAAGAAAATCTGGACTGAAGTACTTTGACCTACTCTGATACCTGATGCTTCTTCATTGCAGAGACCTCTCTTTCATTAAAGTGATAAATGTGGGGCAACGTTTCCTCGTCAACCGTGTCCAGGATTACATTCAAAGTAAAATTGTCTATTACCTCATGAATATTCATGTTCAGCCACGCACCATATACCTTTGTAGACACGGTGAGAGCGAGTGCAACCTTGTTGGCAAGATTGGTGGGGATTCAGGCCTCTCGACACGAGGGAAACAGGTATGGCACAGAGAGGGTAAGCTTTGTTGCTGTGGGTGCTCACTGCGCTGTGCTCGTCAAAGTCATGCTTCTGGGTGTTGGTGAACTTTCAGGAACCGTGCGGAGGAGTTGTAGGGGGCCGGCAGTGGGAGGGGAGAATCAGTGAAAATCTCATGCAAGCAAAACGAAGTATAGGATCCAACCCCATTGAATCGAAACTGGGGTTCAGATTTTCTGATGATCAGTTTCAGGGGAGCTAAATAGTAAAAACATGCAATAATTACACCAAAAATAATAGTCGTCGTATTTTCATTCCTGTGATTGGATTCCCACTGATGGGACACTGTTCAGCCTGTTGTGGAATTCTGAGGATGTCTGCAAGCCTTTGGGAAAACAAACCCGTGCTCCCATTAAGACACCCATTTTGCTCAAAGAGTCAAAATAGTCACTCGCTATATTCGTAATGCTGGGTGTAACCATGCGTATAAGCAAGTTGCTTAATTTTAAGCCAAGAAAGTAATATTTGCCATCTTTGGAAAATACATTCCTTCTATTTTTTTATTTATTTAAAGCATTTTATGCTGCCTTTCCACCTGATCTGTCCCCAAGGTGGCACACATAGAAACACTAAAACATCAGAACAGTTAAAAACAACATTTAAAATGATAAAATAATTCAGTACAAATACAACAAATGCCCTGACCTGGATAGCCCAGGCAAGCCCAATCTCGTCAGATCTTGGAAGCTAAGCAGGGTCGACTCTGGCCAGTACTTGGATGGGAGACCCTCCTTGGAATACCAGAGGCGGGGGTGGGCTTTATTCAGCTACCTCTCTGACTATCCCCCAGGCCCCCAGTAGGGGTCAGTCACCAGAGACTGTCATGACTTCCACATGCACACACACTCACATGCACATATAAAAAAATAAAAAAACCCCCCCCCCCCCCCCCCCCCCGTACAGCAAACAATACCAGAATCAAGGGAAAGGGCCAGTTAGGTTATTGGGGGGATGCCAAACTAAACAAAAAAGTTAGATTCAGGTGGGTAGTCATGTTGATCTTAAGCAATAAAATAAGGTTTCGTGTGCATGCATCCTTCTTCCTATATCTTGTATCTGATGAAGTGTGCTTGCACATGAAAACTTATACCCAGAATTAAACTTTGTTGGTCTTAAAGGTGTCACTGAACTCCAACTTTGTTCTGTAAACAAAAACGTCTTCACCTGCTGGCAGAAAACACTGATAGAAGGAGACTGACAAATCTTCCTGGGGAGGGAATTCCAAAGTTTTGGTGCCATGATCAAGAAAGCCCTTTCTTAAGTCACCATGGGTCTAGCCTCAGGTGGCGGGGGCAACCAAAGCAGAGCCTCTGAGGATGACTGGAGTGAATGGGTAGGTTCATATGGGAGAATGTTGGTACCAGGCTGGGCAGCACCTTGAATTGAGCCCGATAGCAAACTGGAAGACGGTGTAGATGGAACAAGACTTGGAGGGATATGGTTCCTGTGACCCACTCCAGTCAACACTCTGGTTACAGCATTTTGTACCAACTGCAGCTTCTGGACAGTCTTCAAGGGCAGCCCAGCATAGAGCGCATTGCAGTAATCTAATCTAGATGTTACCAGGGCATGCACTGCAATGGCAAGATCCTTTCTGCCCAGGAAAGGCCACAGCTGGCACACCAAAGCTGGTGGAAGGCACCCCTAGCCACCACTGCCACCTGTTTATCCAACAGGAGGTCCAGGTCCAGGTGCACCCGCAAGCTGTGAACTCCTGGTTTGGAGGGAAAGAACAAACAATAAACAGTGTTTTGCTATAAATGTGGGCATATTTAATTAGTTGTATGTAAGGAGAGAAAAAGGAAGGAGGGAATGCATGCACCTGAGGATCCCCCCAAGTATTTCAACAACATTTGTCATCATATAAGAACTGTGCCAATGTCAGAAGCCGCAGGTCTCATCTTCTTAGTGAAGGGCAACCTCTTTCCAATACAAAGATGCCACAAACTTCTCAATATACTTTATTGGTTCCTAGTTTGCGCAAGCATTGAAGAAATTCATCAAAGAGCAGGAAATTGTGGATCTGAAGGTGTGGACTAGCCAGCTGAAGAGAACCATCCAGACAGCCGAGACCTTAGGTGTACCATATGAGCAGTGGAAAATTCTTAATGAGATTGATGCTGTGAGTAGCATGTTGGAAAGGCCAAACACTGAATTGGGGGGAGATTACAAGTAATTCGTTTTGCTATACTATAAATAAAGGATCCTTTCCTTCAAGAAATGCAACCACTACTCTAAGCAAGGGAGCTCTGAGCATTTTGCAGTGGAATAAATGAACCGGTTTGATCTCAAAATCTCAGAAGTTTCCACCCAATCATGTACATGTTTACTTAGAATAAATCCCACGAAGTTCTGTGGGGCTTACTCCAAAGTTCATGTGCATGAGATTAAGCCTCTTGTATAATGGGAAAATTCCACTGCTAGCAGAGCATGTGGGCTCCAACCCACTGATAAAATTCAGGATCTCTGAATGGGATATAATTTCTCTTTTTCCAGGGAGTATGTGAAGAAATGACCTATAAAGACATTCAGAGGACGTACCCAGAGGAGTTTGCACTTCGGGATCAAGAGAAATACCTTTATCGTTACCCTGGAGGAGAAGTAAGGGTGTTTTATGATCAGTTAATAAAATATCATCACTTTGACCTTACAAGTTTTGAGGTTGCTGGTGAAGATACGAGGCAGCAATTGCAAAACACAATACAACAGAAGATAATATGGTAGATAATTCTCATTGTCAAACCTGAGTTATATTAAGTGATAATCTAAATTTGTTTTTTTAGTTCTCCAGGTAGTCTCATATCTACATAATCAAAAGTGTGACTTTTGTACATTTATGGCCAGCTAGATTTGGTGATGATTTGATCCATGGATTGATCCCCCAGCTGTTTGTAGAACTTTATATTGCAGCTGTGTGCAGGGCCCTAAGATAGAAAGGGATCGTAGTCAGGTGAAGGGGGATAACTCTTTGCTTCCATGCTGTTTTTTCAGTCTAAACATTCTCTCTCAAAGGCCATTATACCACATAGGTGCTATGCGGATACCTGTATGTTTTCCCTTTCATGGCAGATGGCCCCAGGGGATGATTCAAATCATGGAAGCAGCAGAGGAGCAAAGAGTTAAAAGTCTGTCACTACTTCCCAATCCAAATCAAGGGTCTGTGCATTTGCAGTTTAAAGTTTTGAAAAATAAGGAGTGGGGGGACTCTATACACAGACTTCCAGTCATGATATCTAGTTTTACCCTTAGATTTCTTTAAAGATCAAAATGCTAGTATAACATCAACCTTTGAATCAATTGACAGATTTTCAGGAAACTACTATAATGTGGAAGGAAATTTCTGATCTTTAAAATACAACAAATCCCTTACAACTTTGTAACAATAATTTTCCTGGTACCTGCCTCTCTTAAGTGTTTCATTTAGTGGTGTGGTGGAAGCACCTGATGTAGCACTGGCAAGTTGAGCAATCGTAAGTCTCTCTGAGCATTCTAAAGGAAGAGCAGAAGTATAATATGTAGTAATAATATCTAACAAAGTTTAAGTCCAGTGGCACCTTTAAGACCAACAGAGTTTTATGCAAGGTATAAGTTTCCATGTGCATGCACACTTCTTCAGATACCTGTGGGGTAAGAGGAAAAGTTTTGCACTTTGCTCACTCTTCTGCCATTTCCCATACCCTGGGCTGTTTTGCCCCATAGACAAAAACATAGACATAACCACATGACGCCTGTGGGTTCTCCCTTTGTAATAATTGATAATAATCGTCGTCGTCATCATCATCATCACTTTGAACTCTCATGACTAGGTAAAATCAGATGACTTAATCTTATTTGGATTAACATATTTCTTACATTATAGTCTTACCAAGATTTGGTCCAGCGCTTAGAACCTGTGATTATGGAACTGGAACGTCAGGGAAATGTCCTAGTTGTCTCTCACCAGGCAGTTATGAGATGCTTACTGGCCTACTTCCTTGATAAGAGCGCAGGTAAGAAACCAAATAGTTCTCTGTTACTCCTCAAGCAAAAGAGGTCATTAAGTGGAATGTATTTTTTTCCTCAGGAACCGCTATTCGCTTATGGTAGTGTAAATGCAGACATTCGCTTGCATGCAGGAATTTTCTGATCCTTGAGAGTGTGATATTTACATGTGGCAGGAGGAAGCACTTACTGTGTTTGCCTGGTTTTCTCATGCTAGCTGCCTAGTTTTTAATGCTGCTCAGCATAACAATGTCAGTAAAGATGCTGCACTTTAAAAGATCCATATGTTACATAACATCAAAGAATCTCTACCACACAGAAAGTGCAAGAATCTCTACTTCATAGAAAGTGCAAGACTGCTATATTCTAGATAAAGCTGCATTGTCTGTAGATTCTCTGATAGGTTCTCTGGGCGGAATCCAGGCAGCTTTTTCATTTAATCTCACCCAGTTCCTCTCCTCAATACAATCTGCATGCCTTTTGTTCATGCAAGTCCCGTTATCCCCAGCATAGCCTTTTTGGTGCTCAAAGGAGACATTTCTTCAGAAAAGCTGGTTGGATCCAACCCTCTGTGTTACTACTTGCTCTCTGTGTCAATAGAGCAGTTGCAAAAAGTATGTTTTGCACTTCATATCCTACCTACAATTTTTATTCTTTAATTTTTCTTTGTGGTCTTCTAGATGAGCTGCCGTATATGAAGTGCCCTCTTCATACCATTTTTGCACTCACTCCAGTTGCTTATGGTAAATATTTGTTCATTCATTTGTATGGGTATGTGTCAGGTGACAGAGAAGGGGGTCAGGCAGAAGAACCAGTGATGTGAAGTGGTTAGACTGCCAGCTTAAGATTTGTTTTCAGATGTCTGTTCTTTCTCTGAGTTCAAAAAACATTATTTACAGGGAAATCTTTAGCAGACTTCTAAATCCATTGGAATCAATGGTCTTAGAAGGGTACAACTTCCCATAGGATGACATTGTTAGCCTCCCTGAAACTTGGTTTCCTATTTTAAATCTGGGTGCATACACCCTACTCTGTGTTGCTGAAGAGGCTGTCATGGTAAGAAACCAGCTCAGCCAATGTTTTGTGGAAACTGTTGAATTACAGTAGGACCCTGTCTCTTCTTTTCCTCTTCATGTTCATATCTCTGCAGTTCTAATGCTGGCATTCCTCCCTCTTTCAGTTTCAGGAACCAGCTGAAGCCAATATTTCTTTTTCTTTGTGTATTGCTTTTCAAATGCAATCCATTGGCACCATAAAGACTAACAAAATTTAACCCAGCACAAAATTTCATGACTCAGAGCTCACTTCATCAAACACAGTCTATAGAGTGCCCCAGATTCCTGTTTTATGTTGCTGCAAGAGACTAACAGTGCTATCCTATGCAAATTTCCACCATTCTTTTGATTTCAATGGGCTTAGACTGAAGTACCTCTGCATAGGATTGCACTACAGTTTTTGCAATAATTTTATAGTACCATTTGTTTTAAAAACAATGTGTGGTATTAAAGTTAATGTTGCACTTTGAAATTTATGAAGGTTGTAAGCTGGAAATGATCTCCTTGAATGTGGAAGCTGTGGACACACATCGAGACAAGCCATCCATAGCAACAGTATGTACAGTGTACAAATTCTGATCCATGTCCATATTAGCCTGAATTGCTTGGATTTAGGATGTCTAGTCCAGTTAACATCAACAGTTTAGGCCTCAGATCTTTGGCTTCATTGAGTTGTGTAGGGGTTGGTGTAAAGCTCTTAGAAATCAGTGGGATTTTCTTAGTTTAATTCAGATGTTGGCTTGATTGTATAAGAGATTAATATATTTCTGGTACATTTAGCGCACCCCCCAACCATTTGTGTAAAAAATTAATCCAGTTGTGGTTGTTTGCTTTTCAAGACAAATCATGGAATGTTGCCAGATTAGAATTATTTATTTAGAATAGAATTAGCAAACAAATCAATGATGGGGAAATTCTAAAAATATATATATATAACATTCTTTAACACTGTTTAGCAATGACAGGCAGTTTTCTTTGACTTTATTTTTAAAAATACAGGTAAAAAAACACAGGTGAATAACTGCCTATCGGGGTAATTTTTAAAAAACAAATTGGCATGAAGGTTCTAAATTAGTTCTTTACATTTTTGCAGCTTTAAAGTAAATTATGAATGACATTAAACAAAAAGAGGCATTATCATATTCCAGGTACAGTGTGTTTTGTTGGGTTTGGCATTGAGCTCTGGAATGTGAAGGTCACAGCTATAGTAATCTTCAAACTTTGAGCTTCGGTACCTCACAGTGCAAACCTAAACAGAGTTACAACCTTCTAATCCCATTGACTTTAACAGTTTAGGATTGTACTGTCAGTCACCTACTTGTTGATGCCCTTGCCAATTAACTGAGCCTTAGTCTCTAGATATGTGCAAATATACGATGAATATAGGCAGCTGTTTACAATGTACTGATGCATTGCCTCTGCTTATATCCACTGGGGAAACTTGTAATTTCCCTGACTGTAGAACGCTGTCAGAGGATGAGGAGAATTTTACCACATAGCCAGACCCTGTCAGAAATCTGGGGTAGCAGGAATAAAAAAATCTCATTCCATTCACAACTACAATCACTGTATTACAGGTGACCTATTTGTAGGCTGCTAAAGCAGAGGGCAACAACAGATCCAAAAGTACCAATAACTTTTTATACTCTATTAAAAATCAGGAAAGGGACATTTGTACTCACACGGTAGATACTAATGTCTGTACTGCAAATCCATGTAGGAGAAAAGAGGAACAAGGTGCAAGATTGAAGAGTTTTATCAGAACTTCTGTATCCTTACACATTTTCCTATATATTTCTTTGGGGAATCTAATACAAAGTCAAATATACAGTCATAAATTCAATTAAAATGTGTATATGGAATAATAATTTAAACATTCTCTTAAAATTAAAGTAACTTGTAAACTGAATTAAAACACAATCTGAACATGGTATAGGGTTAATTTACATATTCTGTAGTGTGGAACAAAAATTATATAGTTTGTAACCAAAAATCCTTTAATACTGAGAAACATAAAAGAACTCAAAAACATTAATGCAAGGTCCATATCAGAAAGTAGACAAACAGACAATGTGGCATCCCTTCACAAAAACTTCAGTGGCTTCTACCTTGAACAACTGGATGAGTTGGGTAGAGCTCACTGTATGTTGTAGCCAGATATGATGCAATACATTCAGGGACCTTTTTACCTTTAAAGGACTGCAGATCTCAAAAATGCTTAGTCACCATGACTAGATAAGTATAGAAGGTCCATGTTCAAGGTGGGAGCCACTGAAATTTCTGTGAAAAGTATGCCACATTGTCTATCTGTCTACCTTTCTGATATGGACCTTGTGCTAATTTTTTAGAGTTCTTTTATCTTTCTCAGTACCAAAGCATTTTTTTTGTTATAAACTATGTAATTTTTGTTCCACATTAGAGAATATGTAAAATAACTCTATATGATGCTCAAATTGAGTTTTGATTCAGTTTACATTTTCATTTTTAAAGAATTTTTAAATTTAATTGAATTTATGTTTGTATATTTTACATTGTATTAGATCCCCCGACGAAGCATATCGTGAAATGTGTAGGGATCTAGAAGGTTTAATAAAACTCCTCAACCTTGCACCTTGTTCCTCTTTACTCCTACCTACAGCTGTGGCCTTATCTTCTTCCTGTCTACAAACCAGTGTGTTGAGAGTGGAAAACTGTTTGCATGTTATTTCATTAAAGTGCCAAAGGTGTCAAGATAGCAATCATTGTGTAATACACAGTTCTGGTATTTGAGGAAGTTGAATAATTTTTATACATATCTGGGGCCAGGGGTCAATTTACTACCATTTGGGGTTGCTTGCTGTGCAGGCGGGTGAAGTTCTTGTGGGGCTCAATGTCACTGCGCGGCCAATCATACTTAGCTAATCTTAATCCAAAAAAGAATTCACTGGCAATTCAAGACACTGACTTAAAATTTAGGCACTTGGTCGTGGCTTCAGTTCTGCAGTAGCTGAACTGCAGCTGACAATGCTTAACAGTCTCACAGCAATGTCTCTTTGCCAAGAACCAGGATTTTTCAAAGCACTCAGTGCTTTGAATATGCTGCCTCACCTGTAGGCATATAGATTTGTTAATTTGGCAGTTGTAATTTCAGTAAACAAATTTCAGATCACTGATAATAACAGATGTATTTTATGGGCTCATATTAATGGGACCTGATCTTGATTGCCCAGGCTGGCCCAACCTTATCAGGATTGGCCCTGGTTAGTACTTGGATGGGTAACCACCAAGGAAGTTCAGGGCTGCTATAGAGAGGCAAGCAATAGTAAATTGACTCTGTCCATCTCTTGCCTTGAAAACCCCACGAGGTTGCCATAAGTTGGCTGCGACTTGACAGCACTTCCCACCACTAATGGGAACTATTCCAGTCTTCGGGCATTTTAACACATGAGTTCTTTCAATCAGTTTGTAATGTGAGTGCAAATCTTAGCTTGGCCAGAATGTTCATTTGCATTACAAAAGGTGTTTTCTTCCTCTGTCCAATGAAGGAAGACTCTCTCCTCTGCAATAATACCTCTCCTCACCTCCCCTGTCTCATTAACTGCCAGAGTGGTGCACTGGTTGGACTAGGTTCTGGGAGACCCAGGTTCAACTCTTCATGCTGCCATGGAAGCTTGTTTGGTAACCTTGGTCCAGTCACTCTCTCCTACCCTCACCTAACTCCCAGGGTTGTTGTGAGGATAAGGTGGGGACGAGAGAACCCTGTACACCATCTTGAGCTTCGTGGTGGGCTGGTGGGATACACTGGGGACAGATGGATACATTGGGACTGAATATAACACTACTATTTGTGCTAGGACTTGCATAAAGCAAAAATAAAAACACTATAATGAAAGTGCTACAAGGGAAAATAGCTATATAGGGGAAAGCATGCATGGACTAAGAGTTATAACTGTGCCATTTTTAGGACTTTGGAAAAACTTAAATGTATCTAACATTAATAAGTTAGGCTGCTTCCACGTGGGAACTATTCTCCATTGTGGACTTATTGACAGTGTGAATGCAAAAGCATTCGCAATGGCAACAGCAAATGATTCTCTGGTTTTCCTCCCCATCCCTTTCTGCCTGTCATTCTTCACACACATCCCTTCCTGGAAGGATTTTTGCCAACTTTTTGAAGAATTGTTAGTACAGTAGAGTACAGTACAGTGGTTTATTGTATTAAGCCATTGGTCATTGCAAAATAGGAGCTGCGGTGGCTCAAGTAGTTAAGACGCTGAACTACAGGCTGTGGAAGGTCAGTAGTTCAGCAGTTCGAGACCCGGGTGCCGCATGATGGAGTGAGCTCCCATCTCTAGTTCCAGCTCCTGCCAGCCTAGCAGTTCGAAAGCAAGAAATTGCAAGTAGATAAATAGGTACCACTTTGGTGGGAAGGTAACAGTGTTCCGTGCACCTTGGTGTTTAGTCATGCCGGCCACATGACCACAGAAACGTCTTCGGACAGCGCTGGCTCTTCAGCTTTGAAACGGAGATGAGCACCGCAACCCTAGAGTCAGATTCGACTGGCTTTCGAGCAAGGGAACCTTTACCTTTACCATTGCAAAATACAGAATTCAGCGGAACATAAAATATTAAAAAGCACCATTAATATCCAAGTTAAAATTAACTACTAATCAATAATAATAATAATAATAAGAAGAAGAAGAAGAAGAATACAAGAAGTTTAATCACCATCAGGTAGCCTGCTCCTTAGATCTAATCTTAGATGTGGCTACAGCAAACAAGGAAACTCTATGGGATAGATTATCTGAAAGCAAGAATGCAATCTTTTCAGTTTCTGGGTATGCTTGCATGACCGGTAGAATTCCTGCTAAAAATTTATCTCTTGGAGTGCTATAGAGTGGACAGTCAAGTATGTAGTGAGGAAGGTCCTCCACCACTGGCAAGCCACAAATACAGAGACATTGCTCTTTTGGAGTATGCGAACAATGGCCAGCCAAAAGTGCTGTTTGCATAGTTTGGAATAGTAAAGCTGTAAAGGGCACTCTAAGGTTATAGTTAGAAATATTAACTAGGTAACTCGAATGGGTAACTAGGTAACTCCACCTGCGGTGGTAAAATTTACAATATTTATACCAGGGAGCCACTTTAGATTTCAGAATTAGAGAACAATCGATCAGTGCATCAGCATCATATATCCAGTCCCTAAGTTGTGAATTCTCAGCTGAGGCCCTGAGAAGGTCATCTGGATATTTTTGGATAATGGTATTAAGAATGGAGGTTGTCTGATTGTTGCCTTATAGAGTTGGAACTTAGAGGTGTGTTCTTTTTCCAGTATTTTATGACCGCCAGGTGTGCCCAGGCCTTAAGAGAGGGGAGTCCCAGTTCAGCTCTCATCAAAGATGTGGGGGTGCCTCTGGGCAAAGCTAGAATTCGCCCTATAAATTGGTTCTGGATTACCTCCAGATTAGCCAAAATATCCCCCTTCCAGCCCCAAACTTCAATTCCATATAAGAGGTGGGGGGTGACCTTGCTGTTAAATAATTTCAGTGCCGGGTCAATCAGATGTTCACCCTTTGTGTGGAAAAAATGTAAAATTGATCCTACCATTCTTAATGCTGAAGATTTTACTGATGCAAGATGGTTTTTCCAGTTCAGAGTCTCCGTAAAGGTTACTCTGGGAAGAATTGTTAGTAGATTTATCACTAAAGTGTATCACAACACATAAGCCTACTATGATTTTTTGAAGAAACAGCAAAAAGCCTTTCAGGGCCCCTGAAGGGTTAGCATTAAATGATGGGTAGGGGAAATGGTGCTGGATGTGGTAGGGAGATTCAGAAATTTATACCTTCCTATCCACATGTGAACCTGCTTTGACTCCAGTGATTTCAGAAACATCAGATCAAAGCAGCTTCTAGAAAAATCAGAGCAAAGGAGGAGAACGAGAGGAAGAAGATCTGTGGGTGATCCAACAAACCCTGCTGCAGTTTGAGAGCCAGGGTGGAGCAATCTCAGACTCCAGAAATCATGAGACTGGAATACAGTGTCATGGTCTTGGCACCATCCTATGCCTAATTGTGTCATTAATTATATTGAACATACACTGTTGTATTAATTTGAGTTTTCACTAGAAATCTAGTCCAATCCAGAAGGCTTAAAAACTAGCTTCTTAAAAAACCACAACTCCCAAAACAGTACTCTCACTATGCTCCCTGAGCAGCCAGAGGAAATAATGCTGCATCATCACTTCCTACCAGCTCCTCTAAGACACAACAGCAGGGCTGTGCCACAGGTTTGCTTAGATATTGAGGGCTGCTGGGAAGAACTAGGTTGGCACCACCCTACACCCAAGTATTTGAATCCCAAGAAGCTCCATTCCGCTTCCCCTACCATAGGATACTGCTTTACTAGCAACAAAATAGCTGAAATCTTCTGATCTGTAAGAGAGCACTGTGTTTCTGCATGCCAAGAACCTGAGTGCATAACTGCCTTAGTAGTCCTGACCTGACTTGGATAGGCCAGTCTAGCCTGATCTCATCAGAGCTTGGAAGCTAAGCAGGGTTGGCCCTGGTCAATATTTGGATGGGTGACCACGAAGAAATATCAGGGTCGTGATGTGAAGGCAGGCGATGGCAAACCACCTCCGAATGTCTCTTGCCTTCAAAATCCTACTGCAAGCTGCAACTTGACGGTGCTGGGGGGGGGGCAACAGTGGGAGGGCTTCTAATGTCCTGGCCCCACTGGTGGACCTCCTGATGGCACCTGGTATTTCTGGCCACTGTGTGACACAGAGTGTTGGACTGGATGGGCCTTTGGCCTGATCCAACACTGGCATCTCTTATGTTCTTATGTTCACTTCCCACCACCAGTGGGACTGAGGAATTTTTTCCCCTGAAGTAACCTGCAGTCATTTCTCAGGAATATCGTCCCCTTAGCTTACCCCCCATAAGAAAAAGTCACTGTTGACATTTATTTAGAGATTTGGATAAATTATAAGAGATGGGAATTTTTAACAGCTTTGAAAATCTAAATTGTGATCAAGAGCTGGAAAACAGAGGTATTTCTCTGATACACTTAGTATTTGACTGTTGCACAAACTTTTTAGTTAAAAGCTGTTGTTTCAGCTGCTGTACATACCAGTGAGAAGAAAGGAAAGTGAGTACTCTCAGTCCATGACAGTTTCCAAAACAGTTAAAGGGAAGACTTTTTTAGGGTGAAATCCTTGTGGGGAGGAGGATTTAGGCATGGTTTATAAGCCACAAGGCCCCCAAGTCCCTTCCTATTGTGGAAGAGCCTACACGTACCCCCTTCGTACTCCATACATCTCCCACAAAGTGTGACACAAGGCTTCAAGCATGTAGCTGAACACAAAGTGGCCTGGTGTGTGAGAGATCTATTCCTATGTTTTCTGAAGGTGAAGTATTGCATAATCTGCAACTGTCATGCTTACACTCATGCACAGAATAAATGCTACATCTTAGAGAAGGGGGTTCATGCCTACTGCTCCATCACAGGAAGGGACTTAGTAGCCCAGTAATGTGTAAAGTATCCCTGGATTTCTCCTGGAATACCTGTGCACCAATTCCATTACAGGAAAGAACACAGTGGCCCAGTAATATACTACCTGGATCTTAGATCAGGGTACATATATTGCTGGCTGGATGCCTGAGATAACAAATCAGTTATTCTGTCAGAGGGCTCTATTTCAGTCCTGAAAATCAATGTCATATATACAATGTCTGGCATGAGAAATATTCAGTGGTATTAACTTTGATTTAAGATTTTGTAGTTTGACTTCTCATTCTTTATGGTATCCTCCATTTTCAATCAGAACAACCTTCCAAAGAGCCAAACCCCTGTAAGGATGAGAAGGAACAGCTTTACACCACTAGCCAGCTCGGACACAGTAAGGCGTCCTCGCAATTACAGTGTTGGGAGCAAGCCCCTCAACCCAGCAGGGTCTCTGCTGTTCCCAGAGGCTCGGGATGCGGCCAATGAACAGAAGCTGCAAGACGGTGTTCAGGTGGTAATTCCTCTCTCCTAAACTGCTGTCAGAAAGCCACACGTGCAGTTGATTCAAAGCAGTGCAAAAATTGGGCAACATGGCATTTGTCAGTGTTGTTCTTCATAATATAGAGCAATTTACATCTGCCATCCCATTGAAAGTAATTAAAAGTGGGAAGAGTATGCAATTCTATCCTCTCTGCCTACCAATTATTTTAATTTAGAGTGTCAACACTGCCACTTTGAATACTAGTGTTTTTTATGTTCTTGCTCCACTGGCAGTTCCAAATGATATTTGTCATGTGTAATGTAATGCCATCTTTGAATATATAAATGTTAATTGAAGGCTACCAACAAACTTTTCAGAAATCCTACCTCTAACATATATGGATCATTGGATAGAACCACTATAAAAAGTCAGGAACCCAAGAGCCCTTTTGTGCGGGGCTAAATGCTTCTCGTTGTGCATATCAGTTTCCACTTTTGGAAGCAACCTCTTGCACTACATCTAACACATAGCTGGAAGCTTCACAGATCTCTCAGTGTGTGTGACACAGAGAGAAAGAGGGAACACAGAATACTGGGCCAGTGCCCTTTAATCTTGGCCAAAGACTGCTCTGCTCCACTCCAAAAATCAAGTGCACTTTGATGACCTCATCTTTAAGAATTCCATTATAAACAATTGACTGAAAAGGAATGACATCTTCAACTGCTGCAATTTTTTCTTTTACAAAAAAACTGTGTTTCAGAAACCAAGAAAAAGTCTCTCCATTGAACCTGTTATGGAGTATGTACATTTTAAAACAAATTGGGCAGATAAATAAAGCTTTTCACTGGATCCTGTTTCCTGTAGACACAGTGCACTCATAACTCATAACTTTCTCAGGTGGATAGTCATTGTTACTATTCAAAAATTGGTTGTTACCAAGGCCGCTATACTTATCCCCTAGACAGGATAGATAAAAGGCTTTGCCTTACAAAAATTGAATGTGCTGTAAAATAAGCTCTCTTGCCAAATGTGCAACTTTTCTTGCCTTTTTTTCTTTTTAATCAACTGCTTCTATCTCAGGCTACACCATGCATTCAGATGCTTTGTAATTGAATAAGGGTATAGATCTGGGCCCCATGTTTACTGGGTACTTCAGTCAGAGTTGCTTCACTAGACAGTGTAGTGGTGCTGCAAATGAACAAATTACATAGAGACCCCTGTTCATTGGTTATGGTATCCCACCACTGTGGACACTCATTTTGTTATGATCCTGTAAGACATGTGATGTCAGGCTTTGCATAGTAATATAAGAATATAAATCTGTTGGGGCCAGGTTTGTCGGGGGGGGGGGATGTTGCACAAATGAAGCAGGTGCTGAAATCTTGCCTTACTTTTCAGAGCTCTTCTGAGCAGCATCAGTACCAGCCTAGTAATTAACTGTGGGCTAGCTGACTTGATCTCCATCAAAGGCCTCATTCTAAAATTGGAGTATGTTGATTGGGGGTGGTAATCTTGAGAAAAGAGAGGTACAGACTTATTTTTGCACCTTCTGCTATTTTGCACTGGCTTGAAAACAGCCGTATAGGTAATCATGATAGCCCTTACTTCACTAATTAACATTCATGGGCTTTGTTTTGTGCTATGATTTTGGATATATCCACTCTAGTCTCCTTGTTTGTGGGGATTGTGTCCATTCTCTTTCTGTATGCTGCTCTGCTTTTTGCTTTTTATACCTGCACTGAATTACAGCTTGAGCTTTCCTATGCTATTTTTTTCTTTGCAGCTTCAAGTGGGAAGTGCTTGCCTGTGAGTACCATTGAGAACAGTTTGTATGTGTTGTAATATATATAGATATATAAATGAATAGGCACTTACTGAGAGATGATCCGAAGTCCGTTTAGAAGGAAGGAATGTATGGAAAGGAGGTATCAAATAATGCTCCTGCAAACTAGAAAGCAAGGATTCAGGTAGGGTAAAATATATTATGGGTTATATAACAATAGACATTTATATAAATTTAAAATAGAACAAGAATGGTTCAAATCACCAACCTATCTTTAAGTAACTTTACTGAAGTTATAACTTACTTGTTAGGATTTTAACTTTACATCCCTGTGGCTGCATTCACATATCATGATAAACTGTGGTTGTGCAACAGATTATGGTTTGTCTGCAAGAAATAAGTAACCGGTCCTTGTTTGCACATAAACCTCAGTTTGTTTGCCTTTTTCCTCTTTCCCATCTTGGAGCAAGGAGGACATCCTCATTTGTTGCAGTTACAGCAAACTATAGCTTGTGAATGCAGATATCACAACAACTCATGATTAGAACCAATTGTGGCAAGAAACCAGCTACAAACCCTTGTTTGAAATCATAGATTGGTACAAACTAATAAACCCTGCTTTGTTTGGACTTTCTGCATTCAGACATTTTGACTAACTGGGGTTTGATCAAAACACAGGTTTTTGTGATGTTTGAATACTGCCAAAATGTAAAATATGAATAATGTTTGCAAACACGTGAATCATGGACAAATGAATCCACCTTATATGGAGTCTGGCTGTTGGCCTGTCTACCCTGTGTTGTCAGCAGCTTACTGTGGTCTTTCTCAGTCCTGCTGTTGTTTTCATATTGGGGGTGTCACAGATTGGGCCTGTAGTCTTTTGAATGCAAACATGCTCTACCACTAGGCTACATCTCATCCAAGTACTACATGGGTTCACTCATCAGGAAGCCACAATGGAATCTAGCTCCCTGTTGAGTGTAACAAACCTGGACTGGCTTACGTGCATTGGTCCTAAGCTACCACATGTTTATTAGTTCATTTCCCATTTGTAGGCTTCTGTATTTGGATGAATGATAAATTATGTCAAAAACGGATGGACCACAGTTGGTTTTTCTTGGTCAGTCTTGCTTTACCATAGCAAACCAAGAATTCAGTACTTAGACATGAACATCTTCAAAATGCTAGTGTGAGCTTTGATATGTGTTGTCCAGGCACAAGTTATTTATTTATTTACTTGACCTTTCTTAAGGTCAAGGTGCAAGGTGGAGACTCAAGGTGGATTACAAAATATAAAAACAATTCAATCAGCATAAACCGTGCAATAGGACTAGTATCACAGAATTAGAAAGCAATGCAAATAGAAAGCAGAAAGTGGATTGCAAAGGCAGAAAACAGTGCAGTAAAAGCAAGATGATACATACAATAAATATTGCAATAGATTACAATTTTGTTCTCTTATAAAAGAACAGCTCTGGACTGTTCCATTATACTGCAATTCTAATTCCCTTATAAAAATGTCCTCCTGAACATTTCTGATTCGAGCATATAAGAAGGGTTGTCGTCATAAATATCCTGCTGACACATATCTGTAAAATGATACCTCACAGAAAGATAGTAGAACTACTTCAGAGAGGCCTGTTCCAGTTCCAGGTTGTTGAGCAACAGTGGAAGGAGGCTAGTCCTTTGCTGAAATTGCTCTGTATGCCTTTGATATCTAGGATTTCTTTGTGCCTGTACACTATTTTGAAAATAATGTGTTAAGTCCATCCATATGAAGTATAATCCTATCAGGATGTCTGAAGATGGAATAATATAATGTTTTGTGACCTTCTAAGAGATTGTGAGTTTGTACATTACTGCTTTTAACATGTACCTTTGCCAGTTTGCTAAAGGAATCCCTTCTTGCTTTTAAAGAATAAACTTCCTTAAAAGGAAGAAGGGATCCTTCAGCAAATTGGCTAAGGTACAAGTGATCAATGTTCCCTCTAAGCTGAGTAAGTGTGAGCTAGCTCACACTTACTCAGCTTAGAGGGAACACTGCAAGTGATGCTGGTCATATAACCTGTTATGTGCTGCTTTCTTTAGGAAATGTAGCTGAACCATACAGCACAGGCATGGGCTAAAGCTAAAGAATGCTAAGGTTGGGAAATATTTGTATGCCCTCTTTCTCACATTATGATGAGAGGGCATGTAAATGGCTTGTTATCCCCCTGTCTACAGGTAGAAATCAGATGAAATCATCATCTGTGCGCCCCTCATGTCTGTCTTTGTTACCAAGTCAGAGGAGAGAGGCCTTTGCTGCAGACCTGTACAGAATGGCCAGTCTGTCACTTTTCTTCCCTTGCATAATTTGACTATGATGACGCTACACTCACCTGTACTCCCCTCGACTGCATTGACTGGCAAATCTCTCTTAATATACCACCTTTTTCCATTTTACATGTGAATCTCATATGGTCAGCTTCTAATATTATATTTATGAATGTGTGTGTGTTTCAGTTCTTTGACACTGTTGGTGTTGTGTGAAGTTGTTTGTATGTGTGATTTTTTTTGGTTGCATTTCGTTCTTTTGTAGTGTGGAATTTCAGCTTTGCATGTACTAAGTGGTGATTGTGAACGTTTCATTGTAACACTCATAACATTACTTTTATCGACCATTTATGAAATGCAGTTTTCCTAGAATTTTAACCATTTTGTAGTTACTTGTGGCTTTACAGCTGTGAGTGGATAACCTTGGAATAGAGAAATACCTTTTGTTAATGTGTTCAGGCACATTACTATCTATGATGCACCTTAGGTATTTGCACTGTTTCTGTGATCTGGCTTAATGAGAACATTCTCAAAAGAAATGGAAGATTATTTGCCAATACAATATGCTTTATTATATGCCCTAATTTGCCTTAAATGTTTTGGCTTTGTTTATTGCTGCCCTGGGAAAATGTTCCTGTGTTTTCCATACATAAATATTTAACTCCTTCCATCATTTGCAAGCTTGGGTTTAAACAAAAACCTTGACAAACTCTAGATTTGTGAACTTGAGCTTAGCCAAATTCTATAAATTTGATCCTGTGCTTGCAGAAACTGAAGAGGGAGGGATGGAATTATTCAGGCAGGATGGTGAAGCATCTGGGATTCTCGGTTGTATACAGCATTGATATCATGACACAAATTCATATCTTAGAAAGATGTTTAAAGGTTACGGATAATGAAGGAGCAGGAAGGTGAGATAGTGGCCAGGAAGAACTGCATGAGACTTGACCAGTCATATAAAGCTTGGACCTCTTCAATGGGGGCAAAATATTTTGCATGTGAAAACAAGATGTGAAGTGCTATGACAGATCCTGGGCCTATAGTTTCTTGTTTGCACCACTAGCAGGAGATGGTGCAAATAGCTGCTAATCCAGACATACTCTCATGGATGTAACTGCAGAGTATGTATGAGGAAGGGAAATTGAAAGCAGAACATTTTAAATTCACAATTCCATTAGTGACATGCTGAGAGGGAAATTATTTTATGGACTACCAAGTGGGAGACAGAGGTTTCAGTTATTTGAAAGGAGACTCACAATATATTGTTCCGTTTGAGTAGCCTGAAATATACAGACATCACCATTAATATATTTTACCACCCATCAGTTATATATGATAGTGTGACTGTAAGGTGATTCAAGGTAACCAGGTAGGTAGTCATTGTTAAGTGGTCTTGTGATAATATATGTATTTAATTTCTTTTACATCATTTCTATTTAATTATTTTACATCATCAGAAGGGGATGTTGCATTTTTATCCCATTAAGTGGGGAGGAGTGTTACCCAAGCACAATCTATCTAGCCTTGGTATATCTTACGCTTCATACTTCTTGCTTAACCAATAACACTGCATTTCAGCTGTGTGCTTCCACATTGCAAAACCCAGATGCATGGATGTGGTTTTGGTAGCTGTAAATTCTTTGCTCAGGAACAATTTTAGCTGTAGGAGAACAGTCAGTCATGCAACAGCTAGTGGAAGAAAAGATGAGTGGACTGGTTGCTGTATCAAGAGAACCAAATTACTTTGAGAATGCTGAAAAAACTGTAAGGTAAGCCCTGAGGAAAAAAAACAAGAATTATCCAAGTGCACAAGCATATGATTGCAGAGTAGATGTCTCAAATATTAATTTGCAACTATTATGGATCTAGAAAGATTTCTATCTCAGTTACTCTTGGACATAGTACATTTAGTCTTAGCCTAAAGACAGAGGTGGGGAAGAGACTAAGATATTTGTTAGACTACCCGACCTTTCAGAATTATTCAGTGATGATACTATACTGTATCCTGAATGTATTATGGGCAGTCTGTCCAAACAACCATCTTACAACTCATCCTGTAATGCACATATCTGTGCTCAAGAAGTCCAAAGCCATAGATGCCATAACAAACCAATAATCTTTTTTAATTTAAATACTGCTTGCTCAAGTATATGTTTTTCCTGTCAGAGTCGAAATCCCAATAGCCTTTCCCATTTTGTAGATTAATCAAAAATTGAAGTTAGTGTAGGATAGTTTACTGTATGTTGAATGAAGTAAGATAACCTAGACCAGCACTTTACTGTATATTAGTTAAATAATAGTTGTAAATTGCTGAATAGCTCCTGGTACAATTATTTTCAAATATTCTAAGTATTATTTCAGTAATAGAATGCTAGAGTCTCTGTCTATTTTCAACTGGGAAAGCCATCAGTAAAAGCCAGTCTAAATGCACTGCAAATTTGCCACTCTTGTGATCCATGATCTTGTTAGTCTGGTGTTATGCTACTCATAGAAGTTGGCTGTTTGCATGTGCAGTTCCAATTCCAATTCCCTTTATTGCCATAACGCATGTGTGGTTCATGCCTGTGATCTTCCAGGTGTATGGTTTGAACCGACTTTCATATTTGAGAGGAGAGGATCTCATAAGATGCTAGGCTAGAGTATAGTAGTCCAAGAGACAATGCAAGAGGCAATATATTGTTGCTGGATTGAATATTCTAAGCTGCCCTTCAGTCTGCTCACTCAAAACATATCGAGCTTGGCCTTCAAGCAGTTAATTTCAATAAACTCTTAGCTCTTTTTGAGGTCATTTTTTCTCATTTCAGCCAGGGTGCTGTTACATTGTGGTCTTTCCCAGAGATTTGTGGGATCTGAGTCTGTACAGTTATGGGAAAGATTACATTAGTAGCATGATATGTCCAGAGAGCTGAACTTTTTAACAGTGTGTTGCTGGTTTTGTAGTAAGCCTTTTATCTGACATATCATCTATGCTTCTTGGGATAGCTGATCATGTTTCAGACTGGAGAGCAACATGCATTGCTTTCTTTTATTCTCTAATGATAAAAGTGAAATAGTAATGAGACCATAGCAGGTGTATTTGAACACTTACTTGTATGATAGAAGAAAAATGGCTGTTTTACCAAAGCTTCAATAGCACACAAACCTAAGCAGTTATGACACTGTATTGTATTATAGATAACAATATGAATGTTTGGATAGGATCAAAAAGGGACTGCCTGATGATGGTGTTTGAGCTCCTTAAGAAGAGCTTCTGAGTTGTTCATTTGGTCTACTCATTTGCTATATGAGCCACATGTTGAAAGTGCCAGAAGAAGAATTAGATTACATTTGTATGCTGTAGCAAGAAACACATTGATGTTTGCAATGATTATTTATATATTTAGAACATTTCTACGGCACCTCTCCAGAGAAACTGCTTGAGGTGGATTTTGTCTTGAGTATAGTGGAATTACATAAAATGGTACTAGCAATGTTCACCATAGAGTTTTTACCCAAATGCTAGAGCGTCCCCCATACTGTGCATAAACTTACTTACTATTACTACTACCCTTACTACGTGCCCGGCATGATGGCATCACCTCCAGGTGACGTAATTGTGCCAGGCATGACAGGGCTTTTCAAGGGTGGGGCTCCCCCACTGGCTGGCATTGAATTGGGGGCCTCAAAAGTGGGAAAAACCTGGCCCCCATCAGGTGGATGGCAACCCTAAAGACAGTATAAAAAGCTATTCTTCAAAAAGAAAATAAAATTTCTTTTCTGTGTGCTTAGGCGGAGGATGTATATGTTGAATCATGCAGTTTGAATGTGTGCACTTATGAAGTATTAGCCTGCCATTTGTTAACTTTATGTGCCAAAGGAAATATACATCATAAAGTCATACAGCTGGTATTTTCAAATAGAGTAGCCAAATATGAATACTGTGGTGATATCAACATGTCTTGAGTAATTGTATTGGAACTGTGAACTTTCTTTTGGATCATGTAAATAAAATAGTTAATTCACTGCAAATCTCAAAACTATGCTGCTTTTCTTTTTCCATCACTTATGGCTAGTATCCATTTCAAATATCTGAGAGGCAAAATGACACCCTTTTAATTTCTGTGCAAATTGTACAGGTGTAAAAAAAAAAGGTAGCTTTGCTCATCATAGCTAAAAGTCAGCCCCATACCCCCACCCCCTGTGCAATAGCAGGAATTGCTCGCTCTTCATGGGTTGCCACTTTGAAGGGCTTTCTGTTCCGTGGTGAGGGGTTGGGCATTGCAAATGAAAGGTGGTATGAGTATATGAGGTGAGAGGAAATGGTATGGAGGGTTTGGATCTGGGTGGGTAAATTGAAAAGATCTATAGGTTGGAGATACAGGCAGTCTGTAACTTTAGAACAAGTGTCAATTCCACATGGCTTTAAAACACTCTGTTTTGTCAAATGATGCAGTGTGCAGCTATCAAGATTTTAGTAGAAAACCAGGTTGTAGTCCAGAGTGTCAACTGGATAGTCTTAAGATCTAATTTCTCTTTTTGTTTTTAATTTTTGTGTTTGGTTTCTCCTTTTTAGAGAACAGCTGGCTTAGTAATGTAGAAGTATTCCATCTGTGTCTTTGAAAATCGACATGAAGGCCTCAGAAAATGCATCAACTTGGAGTGGAATGCCTTACATTTGATGGAAGCCTGTATGTTCAATGAAGCTACTGTCTTGGGGCTTTAAAACATGGTGGGCATGTTAGTTTTTTGAATCAATGAACTGTGATCTCCAATATCTCAAAAAAACAGCAACAGTGGTAGTAGTGAAAATTCTCTGTGTGATAAATGCTCCTGCAAGCTCTCTTTGCACCTCTCAAGACCCTGTGATGCACTTACAGTATGATGAAGTTACAGTGCAAATTTATACCAGGTTCAAACTTGTTTAAGTGTCATGGCCACAGCCAAGAGATCCTAGGTGAGGTATTTCTATAAAAGGCAAGGTAACAGTATCAGAAAACAATCAGCACTCCTGCAATGCTATAGTTTTGGGAAGGAATTCTGTAACATTTAAACTGGTTTCAACCCAGCTTAAATTTGTATCATGGGGTGCCTTGATTCTGCTGTGCTGCCTAGAAAAGTTCTTTTTCTGATTCTGGAAATTACTGTATAGGGACAGCATGCTGGTATGTCTCCCTTCACTTGAATATGTACTTTACAATTTCAGTGCCATTCATATTGGGCACTTACTTATATCCTGGAAGTCCATAGAATGAGTGCCAGCTGTGATTGTCACCCTTATTTTGCTTTAACCTGTAGTATTATTTACTTGGCCTACTAGCAACACTGCAGAAAGTCACAACAAAATCTACTGTCCAATCTTCGCATGTTTACTCAAAAGTAAAAGCCCTACAGTGTTCAATAGGTCTTACTCCTAGTTAAATGTGTATAGAATTGCAACCTCAGTCTCTCTCATGTGCTTGTATGGCGACTGTAAAATGTTTCTGCAGCTTTCTTTCAAGGGTATTCAGTCATGAACACTATGTTTTCAACATCATTCTAGCTAGCAGACAGTTGCTTGGGTATTGATCTTCAGGGTGGAATGTGGTGCTATTTAGTTTTTAGTGACCAATCAAAGAATTGACATAACTTAGCTAAAATAATGAGGTTTCCGGGATCACTAGCAGAGGTGCTCTAAGACATCATGAATTTGGCTCTGCTACATTCTTTTCCTGTCTTCAGGAAATAGAAGAGAGATCACAGAATCCAGGAGTGAGCAACACTCTTGTTTGCTAACCTTCTCGAGACATCTGTCCTGGATACTGTTTGAATATTAAAATGTGATATGGGTCATTATCTAATATTACAGTCTATTTCTACATGTGTCACCCATGTTGCTGGATCTGGATTGTGCAGTTTAAAAATATTGGGATTGGGGTGTTTTAGCTAAGCAGGTGCTTTTGAAACGTTATGTGAAAATGGGATCAGAGTTGCAGACTACAAGATAGTTACTAAGTGCCACTGCTATGTTTGTTTTCTGTTGTTTGCAAAGTTGGCAGCAGCAGTAGAATATACTGTGTATATACAGAGAAAAAGAAGAGCAAAGGTACAACTTCAGTACTGTAATCATAATAGTCTTCACGGGTTTTCTTCTCATTTATTTACCTGAGTGGTCTTATATCATTATAATCACTATTAAATACACTGTTTTCCTCATGATTTTCAGTTTTCTGCTGAAATAAATGTGCCCCATGTCCACAGTTTTGCCCTGTATTTGGGGAACAGTTGTCAGCTCTGTGATGTTGAGCCAGAAATTGTCATTTTTATTTATTTATTTTTGAAGGCTTATCTTCTTTCTTCCTACTTTGAACTCTGATCTCTAGAGTTCTGGTGTACTTAATGGGTGAGACTGATTGGCTCAGATATTTTGGGGGAGGGGAGAACTTCAGGTCTGCATTTCCCACAGGCTTTTTATTCCTGAGTCTTGCACAGAAATGACACAAATCTCCTGTGGATTTAAATTGTTACACTGCTAGGGATTCCGCAGAACATTTCCACTTTCTGTCAGTGAAGTAGACCTTCCTTCCCCCCTCCCCCCACTGCAGACCTAAAGACCCCCCCTCCAATGCTGCTCCTGGGGCTAGGGACCCACCACAAACAGCATGTGGGGGGCCCCTGCTGATCTGCACAAAGAGGAAGGAATCAGCAGAAATTGTCCTCCCTTTCATTCACAGAAATGCTCTGCCCAACGTAACCTCTTGATTTCTGCCAACTGAAGCCATTGAAGGAATTTTCTGGTGTTATTGCTTAAATGTTTGTTAAATGAAAATTTAGAGGAAGCATGTTCCCCTGTGAGAAAACAAATTTGGAGTGCCTTTAGCACCGATCGCCTCTTAGCATCCCATGGCAACATTCCAGTATGATGGTACTGTAAGCAAAGAATCCTGCATACAAATGAAAAATCGTTTCCATAGAATTAAAATAGTACCTTAAAGTCAAAAGTACTTAGCAATATAATCTATTGCATATACGCACAATATGCTGCTGTATCATTGCACAGTTTTATGAATTAATGTTTTTCCTGATGAGCCCTTGCTTGCATCAAGAGATAAATAATATCATTTGTATGTCAAGACATGTGAATGTGACTGTCGACTTGTGAACAATTTTATTATCTTCATTGACAGTAATTGCTTCTTAATTGACAGTAAACATCTTCTAAATGCTGGGGGTAGATTCTGATATACTTATATAGCCTCATTTGTCACCAAGAGCCGTTGAGATGATGCTTTTGTTCAGGGACGTGTGAATGCACCAAATGTGCATCTAAACCTAGTATTATTGTTAGTAATGTGTTGTTGCCTTAAATTCACAATGCAAAATATATGTTTTTATAAGCACAGCCATTAGTAGTTAATGTTAAGTGCAATACTCCACTGATCTTGGTTCTTTGCAATGGTACTCATGCTCAGTGCCTGGATAATAAAATAAATTATGACATCTGTTTTTGATCATTATTTGTTAGAATAGTTGTAATTGCCTCATCCCTTGATTAATGGCTTACCAAGGTCCTTGAAGCCACTGCAGCCAGATTCTAGTGTATACATAAATAGTAGTCTCATTTGGTCTGAGAGGAATTTTAGGTCTCTGCATGTGTGATAATGTGTGTTACAATGAGCCTGATTCAATCAGAGCTTGTCACCATCCTGGAGTTTCTGATTCACTGCTCTTGACAAAGCAGTATCAAGGCTTAGATATGAAAAGGTGAGTGGGTGAGAAGTGAATGGTGGATTTGAATGGGTTGAACCCTTAACTTCTCTCCATTGATGCTTCTTTCAGGCAACGTGTATCACCAGGTAGCTGATTTTATTCCCATCCATGCACTAGTTTGGAAGTTTTTCCATTTATGCCTTACTATACTACTGTACTGCTACTACTCTGCTACTGCTTTCTAGGTCTCAGATTAGCCTGAAGAGAGGTATGAAAGCTTTTATGACCAATTGCAGTAACAAACTTCTAGAGATCAGTTAAGACAAATCTAAAAATATTTTTGCAAAATTTAAAAAGTAACCAATCAAAAGGTGGACAGTTGGCACACACTCATTACAAGTGGTCAGTGAATTTAGATATTTGTGGATTGTCTTCAGGTCAGATTTTTCCTGATCTAAATATAATCAATATGCAATTGAACTGTCACTGTTAACCCTTAAATTCTTTTTCTCCCCAAGGTGCTCAGTTTATACCAGGACTGTTATGAGCATATAAGGCACTAGTTCTACTCTGCATGCTATATGGGGCTCAAATCTGGTTCTCAGATCCAGTTGAATTACTTGACAAGCTTCAGATTTCTTTGTGTGTGTCTGTGTAAAACCCTTGCCTTATCTCCATGTATAGCATCTTCAGTTATGCAGCTGGAACTGGGTCTTCCCAAAAAAATTTTTTGGGGAAAGCCATAGTCAGTTTTAAATATAAGCTTCTTAATGCTGAGAACCTTCCAGTGCTTATTCAGTTGGCAACTCAAGAGTACTATTGGTCCTGGGGGAATAAAATCATAGACTTTAAAATCACACAACTGGCTCCTTTGAGTTCTTCGACTTCTTTGGTAGGGAAGGAAAGAGTGTTAATTATTAAGAAGCTTTTAAAACAAGACTGAAACCTATTAATCCAGGACATCAGATGGACATATTCCCTGCTCCATCTGGGAATCAAATACTTATCCAAATTTGAATTCCCATCCTATCCTTACATGCTGACAATACCTAAATTATGAGTTCCGGTGGGTGGATCGGCTATGGTGGTCGCTCTCCTCGGAGCTCGAGGAGGCGACTAGCACACCTTCGGCTTGGAGTGGTGCCACCTCGTGGCACTCCCACAGAACCCTTGCGGTGGGTTCCAAGCCAGAGGGTTTTTGAGGGTTAGCCTCTTCGACGGCTCGAAGCCGTGGAACAGAGGCTTCCCTCCGCCCTGATGGTCCAGCCGATGAGTGACCTATGGGTGTAAGCCAATCTGACCAGGACAAGCGGAGGAGATCAAGCGGAATAGCGATGGAAGAGAGCG